ATTTTCAGAGTTGGTGGATGGATGCCAGCAGGTGGGTGACAGAAGAATTGTCCTCTAAGGCTTGGGCTACAGAAACAAAGTAGCCTAGATGCCTGGTTAAAGTGGCCTGAGATGACCAAATTATTTCGTCTCTTATACTCTCAGCAGTTAATTCTTCTGACAACCTGATGGCCAGGTACAGTAGAGAGAGTGTTGAGACAGCATAAAAGACGTTATTGGTCTCAGGTACATAGACTAGAAAGTGTGTGTGTTGCTGTTTTTGGTGAGTGGGGAATGTCAATCGCAACACCATAAAGGCAATTCCTCAACTCTACCACTGACTCGTCCTCGCATTGTCAGCATTGATTGATTCAATCACTTGATTTTCTTCAATCAACATTCCTTTTCCTGAGACTTGTGCATGTCTGACCATTAGAGCCCGCTGCGAACACGACTCTGATTCTGCATTGAATATGTATCTCGCTGTGTCATGCAGAAGAGCCTTGCATCGATCTCCCGTAATGCAGATATAAATCACACCTGATCGTCAATGCAGTTGGAATTTATGCACATGCATAATTCCCCTAGATCTTCAGGGCTCCATCTACAGATCAAGATCCATTGGCTGAGAACAGAACAAAGAATGAACACAGTCATCATGAGATTCAAGTAGACGCGTCGCGCCAAATCGAGGTTTGTTGTGCATAACAAATACTGGTATTCAGAGCTTCCCAAGATACGATTGGTGCATTCGGATGCGAGCTGAAAACCTGCAATTACTGAAACTGGCGTAGAGCCAGGATGCGTGGCAACTCGTTATTGCTGAGTTTCTACGCCAGTGTTTTCAATAGTGAACAATCCTATTGATAGTCGACCTGAGGCACGGCGCTTTCGCCGGGATAGCCCTGTACTCACTCTACTGCAACTGCAAGATAAATCCGGTTTTACATGTTTGTCAGTCCATCATGTGGTTGTCGACATGTAGACTACCTTAGACTAAAGATTAAGGAGATATTGGCGCTCGCATAATAGCGACTTATTGGGCACTGGTCTTATCGAAATCGCGCCATGTATGCATGTCTACAAACAGGTTCTCTCTCTGGTGGGAAATGCAGATTTCCATGTTGTGTTTTTGAAACTGGGAGTCCTTCACCGCCAGTTGTCAGTGAACCTCATCAGTTTAAACTTTCAAAACGCATCGCATTCTAACCCAGCTGTGACCTTGAAGCTTTTGCTACATTCAATAATGCCTGAGACATATCTTTCTTTTGTATGGATGTCCCCTGCGCCGTTTTGATAGGTATATCAGTCCTACTATAGGATCCGTCTCGGCATTATATCCCTTCTTCTCGTGTCTGCATTCAGCTCGAGCTTCCGGATTATAGTTTCTTTTGCGCGCGCACAGCCTGTTTCCAGGCGCTATGGCTTCCGTTCACATCATATTGAGACATTTATGGTTCTGTTGTCAGGGAATAGTTTTCGTTCGACGTCGACTTGATATCGAACTCTAGGTTAGGCAAGTTGAGCTGCAAGCTTATCAAGGCAGTAAGACCAGTCTATCGACAACAGTATAAAATTGCATTTAAAGAGTTGCGGATTGTTTCTTATCTGTAGCATCTGTATGTTTTGTTAGCTCTGTGTCATCTACTTTCATATTCGCTGTGACTTGCATCTCATGTGCAGTACTGTGGCAGCTAATGTACACTTAACCGGTGATAATTTTACACTATATGGTAGATACTTCAGCTGGTGTACCACAACCATAAATACCTCCATAATGCGTGCGTGGACAGAGTTGAAATGACGCCTTATACATATATATCAAAATCCACACGTAATGTGTATATTGACCCAGTTCAATCACAAGCAACATTGATTGACTTTGGTAGCTAGCTACCCTAGACATTGACTCGATCGGCAATCGGGCCTTAGATGTCCGCGCCCCAGGGCGGTGGTTCGCCAGTACACCCACAATTTTCAACGACATCTGTGGCGGGGCATTCAAGGTAACGACTTTATTGAACCGTTCAATCACAGCTGAAGCCACCTGTGTAACTCGTCAACTGTGCTCTTAGAGTCCTAAGAGTTGCCAATAATTAGTGGATATCAGTTCCATCAGCCTTGTGTCTCAACTGTACCGACATCAAGTCTATTCGTCATCATGGAAGCTGATATCAGAGCTGTGATTCCTAACATCGACCCTGTGGTCTCCGAGTACTCTGTGGGTTACCTTACTCATGCCTCGACTGCTTACTCCGACGAGGATGAGAACTCGGGCGAGTCTCCCTTGAATGAGGCTGCTTCAACCATCACCGAACTTCTGCTATCCGCCTCCGGCCAGTTCAACCCGGAGCTCGAGGAAAAGATCAAGCAGCTTGTCGAGAAATGGGTTGACAAGTACACCGCAGCCAACGGAGGCCAGAGAGATGGACCCTCAGCTGTCAGGCGCCTCGACCAAACCATTCAGGTCAGCCAGCAGCGCAACATGTCGTCCACCCTCGCTGTTGCGACTGGTGGCGTTGATCTGGAGTCCGCCAATGCGAGAAAGGTCGAGTCCAAGGTCGATCGCAAGAAGCTGGAAAAGGCTGAGCGAAAGATCGCAGCCAAGCAGCAGAAAAAGACCTTCAAGAACGTCGAGTACGAGGCCTCCAAGCTGCTCGACCAGCCCGAGTCCACACAGTCCTACGAAGAGTTTTATATGGCCGTCAACCCTCTCCAGATCGGCGGCGGCTCTGGAAACAAGTCAAAGGACATCAAGTTGGATAACATCGACGTATCTATCAGTGGAAACCGTATTCTTACAGACACAACACTCACTCTTGCTTACGGTCATCGATATGGTTTGGTTGGTAACAACGGTGTTGGTAAATCTACTCTACTTCGAGCTCTGTCTCGCCGTGAGGTTGCCATTCCTCTACACATCTCTATTCTCCACGTCGAGCAAGAAGTAAGTTCAGCCAAGGCCCGAAAAAAGCAGATAACTAACAGAACTAGATCACTGGTGATGACACACCCGCCATCCAGGCGGTTCTCGATGCCGATGTTTGGCGCAAGGTTCTTCTTAGGGATCAAGAGGTTAGTACACTACCTTGCAATATTGACCAACATCTAACAACAGTAGCAAATCACGGCACGCTTGGCAGAGCTGGAGCAGCAGCGTTCTTCCCTAGCCGACACGTCTGCTGATGCGGCCAGGATCGATCGCGACAGAGAGGCACAGGACACCAAATTGGGAGATATCCAAGCCAAGCTGGCCGAGATGGAATCAGACAAGGCCGAATCACGAGCTGCTAGTATCCTTGCTGGTCTCGGTTTCTCACCAGAGCGACAGCAGTTTGCCACCAAGACCTTCTCTGGTGGTTGGAGAATGCGTCTGGCTCTGGCACGAGCCCTGTTCTGTGAGCCTGATCTGCTTCTTCTTGACGAACCGTCCAACATGTTGGACGTCCCCTCCATTACCTTCTTGTCCGATTACCTCCAAACCTACCCCAGCACCGTCCTCGTCGTCTCTCACGACAGAGCGTTCCTCAACGAGGTCGCTACCGACATCATCCACCAGCACTCACAGCGTCTCGACTACTACCGTGGAGCCAACTTCGACACCTTCTACGCCACCAAGGAGGAGCGCAAGAAGGTTGCCAAGAGAGAGTACGAGAACCAGATGGTCCAGCGAGCCCATCTCCAGGCCTTCATCGACAAGTTCCGATACAACGCAGCCAAGTCCTCAGAAGCCCAATCACGTATCAAGAAGCTCGAGAAGATGCCTGTGCTCGAACCTCCCGAGGCCGAGTACTCCGTCAAGTTCACATTCCCCGAAGTCGAGAAGCTATCACCTCCTATCGTGCAGATGTCAGAAGTCACTTTTGGCTACAACAAGGACAACATTCTGCTCAAAAATGTCGACCTGGATGTGCAACTGGATTCCCGAATTGGTATCGTTGGACCCAACGGTGCTGGTAAGACAACTATTCTCAAGCTTCTCATCGGCAAGCTGGATCCTTCCTCTGGTCTGATCTCGCAACATCCTCGTCTTCGAATCGGATTCTTCGCTCAGCACCACGTCGATGCTCTCGACCTTAACGACAGTGCCGTCGGATTCATGTCCAAGAACTACCCTGGCCGAACTGATGAAGAGTACCGTCGACGACTTGGTGCCTTCGGTATCACCGGCACAACTGGTCTGCAGAAGATGGGTCTGCTATCCGGAGGTCAAAAGTCTCGTGTCGCTTTCGCATGCTTGGCTCTTACTAACCCTCACATCCTGGTTCTTGACGAACCTTCTAACCATCTTGATATCGAAGCTATGGATGCCTTGGCTGAAGCCCTCAACGAGTTCCAGGGTGGTGTGCTGATGGTTTCTCACGATGTTACTATGTTGCAGACTGTGTGCACATCGTTGTGGGTTTGCGACGGAGGTACTGTTGAGAAGTTCCCTGGAGATGTTCAGGCGTACAAGAAGAGAATTACTGCGCAAGCCAATGCTGCTGGTGTTGTTAAGCAGCACTAAATATATATTCAAATTGACAAAACGATTGTTATGGTTTACGATACATTTGGTCACTTGACTTTTGCTATGAACTTTACTGGATTGCAGTGACAAACCGCAAATACATCAAATCAAGTCCATTCATTTGCTCTTTCGATCAGCGATACTTTTCCTTTGCAAACCCTAACATACGCCTTGCCCTTAATTGCCCGACCCTAACAATGCTAATGCACCATGTGTGGTTCGTGTTACCTATGATGCAGGCGAATGTGTTTGTGGTGGATTTCTTTTGAACACTTGAAGAAACCAGCACAATGGGTATTGAACAACAACAATGAACCTCGAGTATCGCCCGTGTTCCAACAGATAATGTTCCCCTCATTTTCTATATAAACCTTCCGTTGAAGTCAAACCATATCTTCGAAACAACGCGCACTGCTCTCAGCATTTTGAAGCACCTTGAAGAACCTTGAAAACGATAGACGATTTTGACAACATCTTTCTCTACGAAGCAAACAACCACAAAACCTCGAAAATGGAAGGCATCGAGACCACGCAGGCCGTCGTCGCCATGGATATTTCTGAAGACCCTGAGCCTTCTACCGAACCTACCAAGCCCACTGATCGCGCCAACACCAGCGAACCCTCTGCTTCCCCTGCCAGCGACCCTCGCGCTTCTTCCCCCATGATGGAGGCCGACGACTCTCAGAACACTGGCGGCAAGATCATCGAAGTCAAGAAGACCAAGCCTACTCTCCACGTACGAGAGAACCTCGGATACTGGAAGTGTAGTCAGACCCTCCAGGACGGCAGCACCTGCGGTTGCTACAATATGATGGCATTTAAGCAGTGTAAAGACTGCAAGAGCCGACGCGGAGTTGGAGACGACGGCACAGACGCTTACGGCACCAAGATTGCGAAGATCGTGCACGTCAACAACGAGAACGGAAATGAGTTCTGGCAGTACCTCATCGAGGAATAGGTCTGTGTGAGGGAGGGCATGGGCGGCTTGCAGATGATGGATCTTTTTAAGGAAGCCATGGGACTTCAGGAATGGAGGAAAACTTCATGATATGATCATGAAGAGAGGTTACTGTATTTCGAGACTAGGAGATCATGAGTTATGAATACAATCAGATCACCTCGAGTAACTGTTCATGTCGATGACCTGGAAGGGTGAGAATGTTGTTCTTTGTACTGGCGAGCTACGAACAAGACGCACCAGCACTCTAGCACTGCAACCATCTCTCCTTACTGATAAACGGTATTATGGTACCTGGCCCTTCCTTACAGGGACACACCTCGAGAGCGATATAACATCGTGCAAGTAGAGTAGCCTTGCTGTAGTATTACATACAGCAGTCGCACAATCTAAATGTTACAGAGAATGATATTAGTGCTTTAGTATAGTGATTGAATAGACTTGCTGTCAGATTCTTGGACTCTGACATATGACGGAAAGTGTAAGGTATCTATCTATACTGCTGAGATTTACCAACTCGATCAAAGTCGCCGGAATCCAGCTGAAGTAGAAGTTTAGTCTTTGATGTCCCTGGAGGCCATGTCTTGACCTCGGATCATCTAGAACAAACAGTAAGATAAGGGCGAGTGTAAGACCTCGAACATTCTTCATGCTTATCCACAAAACTTGGACAAACAAATAAACAAAATCGTTTCTTGCCTGATTCCTATATTTGCCACGCAAGAAACAGTGAGCATGTTCAACAAACCCGGTAGTTCTCTGCATATGCTAGAGCTTCTGATTCGTTTGGTCGACACTCAACTTTGAGAATACCCAAGTCCCTAGGTGGGTAACAGAAGAAATGTCCTCTAAGACTCAAGGCTACAGAAATAAAGTAGCCTAAACGATAGTCTAAGCTGGCATAATGTGACCAAGTTATTTCGTCTCTTATGCTTTCAACGGTCAATTCTTCTGACACCTTGCGGATTCCTTAGAGCAATTACCCTAGCAGTGTCCTGGGCTCACTCCCGCCAGTTTTGTTACATTCATTTTAGCTCGCTTGATAAAATAACTGCCGGCTTTGCGAAGACTGACCGTCTATTGTATATATACGGTATTAAGATTGCTGCTAACATGATATATCGTATAAGAGAATCCCTGCTGAAATTCCGCTATAGATCATATGATGCATAAACTGATTAGAGGTATTTTGACATCATTGGTATGATTTCATTACGAACCTTGGCCATCAAAGAAAAGTGCTGATCGCCTCATATTGAAATAAATGCTGATCGTCGAGTGCCGTCTGTTCATCTCGGATAGTCAAATCGCCAATTATTTATGGGGCCGACTTTGCTTGCTGTCGCTCCTCCCCGGCTCGTTAGCGATATTCTGCATGCCGAGGGAGCTACCTACCGCCTACTAACTAAAATGGCTGGCCTCAACGGTCAACTGATAAGATATCTAGGCAGTGTTTACATCTACAAAAACAAGTAAATCTAATACCGTTTGTCTTTCAAGATATTCTATATCCTATCAACATCAACACTAGATCTGGGAATAAAGACGTTTCTTTCCATCTTATTTCCTCGCCTTGACCTCCATCTGGTCTGCCAACTTACCGGGGGTGGGAAGCAGTGACAGCAACAGGGAGCAGGGGCAGCTCTATTGGCGTACCTGCCACTGCGAAACCACCACCTTCAGGCCGCGCCTTGCCTTTCTGAACGCGTGCACAGACCAGCAAGTAAACAACCGAGGACGCTCACTGGCCAAATCGTCAGGAAAGAACCGCTCTGCCCCTTGTTTACCCCCCTGCTGGGCCCTGAACCGTGGCGGTGAACAATTTCACCCTCCATTCTCCAAACAAAAATCAACATTCCCTCCCGTTTGGAACTGCCCAGCCCACTCTCATCCTCCTCTGCCAAAGCTAAGGCTACTTCAGCTCTTGAACTACTCCGGCCCATTTCTTCTTCTTCATACTCCTCCATATCCCATCTTTACATCCACAGCCATCAACATGCGCGAGATTGTGAGTAATTCCTCTAGCTCTAACTCTAGCTTCGAGCTGCTGTGCTCCTGCACCCGCTGAGCTTGTGCTTCGTGCCCCTGATTCTACCGTACCCCGCTGGGCTTCGGCAGGTCAACAACAATGCACGATAGCTCGCAGCTTGATCAATGACTTCCCCAGAATCAATACGCTAACCTTGTTCTTTTCTTTGCAATAGGTTCACCTTCAGACCGGTCAGTGCGTAAGTACTTGTCTCTTCGACCTAGTCACCCAGTGATGTTAACAATGTTTATTAGGGTAACCAAATTGGTGCTGCTTTCTGGCAAACCATCTCTGGCGAGCACGGTCTCGACAGCAATGGTGTTTACAACGGTACCTCCGAGCTCCAGCTCGAGCGCATGAGCGTCTACTTCAACGAGGTTTGTTCCATCACTCCTACCACGAAAACACAACAAGCTCACGCGCGCCTAGGCTTCCGGTAACAAGTATGTTCCCCGTGCCGTCCTCGTCGATCTCGAGCCCGGTACCATGGACGCCGTCCGTGCCGGTCCCTTCGGACAGCTTTTCCGTCCCGACAACTTCGTTTTCGGTCAATCCGGTGCCGGAAACAACTGGGCCAAGGGTCATTACACTGAAGGAGCTGAGCTTGTCGACCAAGTCCTCGATGTCGTCCGCCGCGAGGCCGAGGGTTGCGACTGCCTCCAGGGTTTCCAGATCACCCACTCTCTCGGTGGTGGTACCGGTGCCGGTATGGGTACGCTGCTGATCTCCAAGATCCGTGAGGAGTTCCCCGACCGTATGATGGCTACCTTCTCCGTCGTCCCTTCTCCTAAGGTCTCTGACACCGTTGTTGAGCCCTACAACGCCACTCTTTCCGTCCACCAGCTGGTCGAGAACTCCGACGAGACTTTCTGTATCGATAACGAGGCCCTTTACGACATCTGCATGCGCACCCTCAAGCTGTCCAACCCCTCTTACGGCGACTTGAACTACCTCGTCTCCGCCGTCATGTCCGGCGTCACCACCTGTCTCCGTTTCCCCGGTCAGCTGAACTCTGACCTCCGAAAGCTCGCCGTCAACATGGTTCCTTTCCCTCGTCTCCACTTCTTCATGGTCGGCTTCGCTCCCCTGACCAGCCGTGGTGCTCACTCTTTCCGCGCTGTCAGCGTTCCTGAGCTGACCCAGCAGATGTTCGACCCCAAGAACATGATGGCTGCTTCTGACTTCCGCAACGGTCGTTACCTGACCTGCTCTGCCATCTTCCGTGGCCGCGTCGCCATGAAGGAGGTCGAGGACCAGATGCGCAACATTCAGAACAAGAACTCATCTTACTTCGTCGAGTGGATCCCTAACAACATCCAGACCGCTCTCTGCGCTATTCCTCCTCGGGGACTTACTATGTCCTCTACCTTTATTGGAAACTCCACCTCTATCCAGGAGCTTTTCAAGCGTGTTGGCGAGCAGTTCACTGCTATGTTCCGACGCAAGGCTTTCTTGCATTGGTACACTGGTGAGGGTATGGACGAGATGGAGTTCACTGAGGCTGAGTCCAACATGAACGATCTCGTCTCCGAATACCAGCAGTACCAGGATGCTGGCATTGATGAGGAGGAGGAGGAGTACGAGGAGGAGCTGCCTGAGGGCGAGGAGTAAATTACTCCATTTTACTGAAATCACTGGTCGTCTATATTGTCTCTATTCCATAGCCGGCCTGCAACTTCTTTTCAGGGTGTAGTCGTTGTAATTCCGGGGTTAAGATATCCTCAAAAGTGGCAGTACACGACAGATGTACGAGTCAAATAAAATTCATAAGTACTAGTTGTACCAATCTCAAAGTCCCAAATCACTGCGAACCTAGAACCGGTATCAGAGCTGTTGTCGAATGTCGAATATTGTTCCAGAGGTAAAGTTGAATGTTGGTGGTCGGACTAGGCATGTCCCGATCGCTCTGTCGTGCTATTCCTGCAACACGTGATTATATGACTAAGCACGAAAAGTTAAGCTCCAATTGTCCGTGAACCTCGATCGTGGAGCCAGCATCGCAGCACGCCAACGACAGCCATATCGACACCAATGGCTGCCATGTTCACTCCCAGCCGGGGGAAGGCATTGGGACGAGCCATAACGGCCTCGTCCTCTGGTCCTGTCACACTCCCTGGCTTCTTGGTGCCGGCATGGCAAGCGACAGCCCCGACGACAGCAGCGCCTCGAGTCACCGCCGCACCCTTCTCGACGACCTCGAAACGACCCTCTAAGCTTGGCCGAACACCTCTCTCGATTCCACCCGGAGTTGAGTTGACCGTTGGAAAACTATTCGCTCAAAGAGACTTGACGTCGTACAAGAAGGTGTACAAGAAGAACATCACTGTGAAGGGACCACTGGGTGCGTTGGAATGATTTTGAGGAAAACGAGGGCGAATTGCTGACCGGCCGCCAGGATCGCTCGATCTTGAGGTTCCTCAATATGTTGAGTTGGAACAGGATCCTGAGGCCAAGAGTGTGTTGCTGAGCGTTCAGGACAATGAGGCTAAGGACCAAAAGGCTATGTGGGGTAGGTTCATACGTCCTTTACTTCTACAATTGAAACTGACAATTGCGTAGGAACAACATGGTCTTATCTCAAGAACTACATTATGGGTGTTTCTGAGGGTCATACAGCTATTCTCCGTCTCGTCGGTGTTGGTTACCGAGCTAGCGTCGAAGAGCGAGGTGCCAAGGAGGAATTTCCCGGCCAGCGCTTCCTGTGCCTCAAGCTGGGATTCACGCATCCTGTCGAGGAGGGTATCCCTCGGGGTGTTACTGTTACAACTCCTGCACCTACACGTATTCTGATTGAGGGCATTGACCGCGAGACTATCATGTCATTTGCTGGACGAGTTCGCATGTGGCGTCCTCCGGAGCCTTATAAGGGAAAGGGTGTATTCATCAACGACCAGACGATCAAGCTGAAGCAGAAGAAGATCAAATAGAGAGATGGTATATTGGGAGCTTATATGGGCCTATTTGGTGGCCTATTGGACGCAGCTGGCGTGTGTATTCTAGTATCATGTACAGATGTGTACTATTTGACGAGGCATATACAAAACTACTTTTTACTTTTTTATTTCTCGCTTTCATTCAAGTCGTATCAACACTTTCTTCCTTTTTGAAATATTTATGACTGCTTGGCGCTCAGAACCTCCTGAACAGCCTCAAGAACCTTTCCGTGGACGGGAGCAGGAGCAGCAATGACACCCTTGTTGTTAGCCAGAGTGCGTCCAACGCTGAAGTCGAGGCGCTTGCCTTGGATGTCAGTGACCTGACCACCGGCTTCGCGGACAATGAGGTCACCAGCAGCGTGGTCCCAGATCTTCTCCTGGTATGTAGCCTTGACAGGTAGACGAAGGTAAATGTCACCAGCACCACGGGCAATGGAACCGTACTTGGCTTGACTGTCCATGCGGACGCTTTCCTGGGTGATACCGAGCTTCTTAGAGATAAGGGCCTGGTCGTCGTGCGCGGAGTGGCCAGCCTCTACACTCTCGCAGAAAGTAGCCTTGGAGAGGTCATCGAGACTTCGCATAGAGATAGACTTCTGAGCTGAGAGAGCGCCAGTGGTCAGAGGACGGCTGTTAGCACCGTGGCCCTGAACAGCAGAGAACACGACACCGCGGCCCTCGTCAGTGGCATTGGAGCCAATGTCGGCTGTTAGACGAGCTGAGTCGTCGACGGGGAGGTTGGGGCAGCCGAGAACACCGACCTTGACGTCACCATCAACCATAAGACCAAGGCAGACAGCGTACTGCCCACCACGGAGGAAGCCCTTCGTGCCGTCAATGGGGTCAATAGCCCAGATGCGACCGCTGGAACCGCCCTGGCTGCCACCTCTATCGATCAACTCGAGCATATCGTCAACATCCTTAATGGGACCACCGAGCTGCTTTTCGGCGTCCTCGTCGTCGAGCTTTGTAGAGCTAACGAGCTCCCAGATAGTCTGCTTGAGGTTCGCATCGTCACGGAGCTGAGCAGCCTCTTCTTCGGCAACGATGGCGTCGTCGGGGAAGTTGTGGCGGAGGGCGGCAATAATGAGAGCTTGGGCGCCAAAGTCGCCCACAGTGACAGGGCTCTTGTCGTTCTTGTCAACGGTACCCTTTGCTTTCTCGTGGAAGACGCGCTTAGTGAGAATAGCAGCGCGCTGAACGGCGAGCTCAGCGATCTTGAGCTCTGAGGCGTAAGATGGGGAAGCCATGGTTGCGAGAGGTCGGTTGAGGACGAGAAGATGGGAAGATATTTGGCGGAGGCGGGGGATGAATGAGGGCGACAGAAAGATAGCCAGGGTGAGAGTGAGTAGAAAGAAGAGGAGGGATCTAAAGAAGATGGTCATTCAAGACAGAGCAAGGCACCACTAGGGATAGGTGGTAGCAAGATGGTAGGTAACGTGGGATGGCGCAATTGATGTATGGTTGGTCTCTTTCGGGTCGTCGGGCGGGTCGTCGCTGTAACTGGGCCTAAGATGAGTGGGATGTGGATTAATTGAGTGAAGGATCTGAGTGAGAGAGTGAGGGAAAGAAAAGAAGTGGGATAAGCTGTTTGAGGTTCTTTGAGCCAGTGACGTGAGATGAATGAGCTTGCTAGGTAAGTAAGGGAGGTAGATATGCATTTATTCTACATATAACAAATGTATTTCTAGAAATAATAATTACTCATTCAATTGGCTTCAGTTACTATTATCGAGTCCCTACACATATATAGCGAGTAAGTATACCTGAATTACACCTTCGCAATGGGTTCTCATCCATCATGTCTACTCCCACTTCTGCCCCGCCATTAGACTCCGATATCGATGAGGGGCATTTTCTCATTCCCATCCGTGCCTGCTAACATTTTTCTTCCCCCTGCTCCCAGTCCAGCGGAACCACCCGATTGGTCCGCCATTTCAAGCATCAATCAATTCAAACCCGAGCATTCTGATCATTTCATCATCTCTCTCACACGCCTTGAATCCCACCTCTCGTCCTCTCATACCGAATACGAAACGTGAAAATGGCTTCATCACCCGCCTCTCTACGCTCTCTCTATCGCTCTCTTATCCGCGAGTTCCCACCTCGACCCATCCTCGCCTCACCGCGCTCTCCTCTGCACTCTCGCCTCCGAGATTCTTTTACTTCCGAGACAAAGGGTGCGACATCTCAAGACGCCCGAGCTCAAGCTGCTGCCCAAGCCGTTGCCTACCTTCGATCTCAGCGCCTGTACGCCACTTTGCTTGAGCGATACAACCCCGGTATGGGTATGGACGAGGAGGAGCGTGTTCGCTTGACCGCGCGAAGGGTTGGCATGGATCTGCCAATTGAGTACAAGTGAAAAGGCCATGCGCGAAATGGAAAGACGACATAGAGGGAAGAGAAGGGGCCATAGAGGGTCGGATGACGATCAGAGCCGGTCGACGGACTCCAGACACATATTGAAGACAATCGTCATGTATGCGATATAACACGATGTCCTGGATACCAAAAAGCGAACGCCTTCAGATTCAGGAACAAGGGAGAAGACAGAGAACTCGAGCAAGGCGGATGGATATATCGGGCGCGGGGTCTGTAACCCGCTCGCCAGCAAGATGTACGAATAAGTGTATGAAACAGGCGCAATACCCAAACATTACTCGTTTATGAACCACCAATTCATTATCATTTCATATCTCATTCAAAGGGTACATTTGACCCAAGATCAAATTATATACAGAATAATATCGTTCCAAAGATCAACCACATCTGGCTGAGGGGTATCAACATCAACTCGCTTTCCTCTCTCATTTCTTATGCAGGCTCCTAGACTCCGCCTACACCTCCGTCTTCTAGCGACTCGTCCCAGCCGCCCATCTGTAATAGCCACTCTCCTAATCGTTCCTTGACGAGTGTGATGTTTTCACCTAAGGCGCTCTTCCATTGATCTTGCACAAGGCGGACCTTCTCCTTTAGATCTTCGGTAAGTCTATGTTCCTCCGACTGTCGCATCTGCTGCGCTCGCGCGTTACTGTCGGCCTTGGGGATTGAGTTTCCATTCTCATCTTGGGTTTGAGTTTCGAGCACTTTCCCTTTAGCATGTACTACTGCTTCTTTAACCTCATGAAGCAAGCACAACAAATTGGTGTGCGACTCGATGAACTGGTAGGTGCTCTTCTCTGCGTGAAGCAACAAACTAAACAGGTACTGCATCGGGTGCTCGATATATGATGGGGTTTCTTCAATCTCAGACGCTGGAATTCGAATGTTGAACCCCTCTAGATCCAGAGGAATGTTGTCCAATAGCTCGCAAAGCGGAGGCGCAATATCCCAAAACGCCGACAGCTGCAGTGCAACGCCATGGTCGACAGCCTTTTCAACCACTCCCCGGAAGTCTCGTGTTCGTTCCAGAACTTCGTGGGCAAACGCATATTCACGCTTAGCCGAGTCTTCCGCAAAGAAGGCCTCAGCTGACTTGAGTTTCTCGGTATTCCCGGAAAGTCGATAAGGAGTCAATACAACCTCGCAGTATCGGCCATTACGATCTGAAAGAAGATCATAGATAGCCCGATGAAGACCTTCACGCGCTTCGAAAACCCACTTAAGCAAAGTCAACTTTTCCAAGAGTTCTGGTCTATCGTCGCCTTCTTCTTGCGGCATATCGGCGTCGATCTGTCCGTTATCAAATAAATGTCGGGATAAATCGTCAAACAGCTCCGTGGCACGTGAAATACGTCCTGTTAACAACTCGTTCAAAGGTAGCACAACTTGATTCTGGAACAGTTCGTATTCGTTCTTTTCAAGCTCCTTTTTCTTTGCAATCTCGTTGACCTTTTCGTCGGCGTCAATGGTTCCCGCATCTGCGTAGCTCAAGCTGCCGGCGTTGATTTCATTCTGCAAATGTGTCCGCAAAGCTTGACGGCGCTCTGTCGCAGCTTTGGAAAATTGCTCTCGTCTTTTAGAACTTTCCACAGAGAACCGTTCTTTCGTCTTCGTCAACTCATCAAGCTGGCTTAGAGCTCGTACCGCAGTCCTGATTGAGGTCAACTCCGGGTGTTTGTTGTTAACAGCAGGGTGGTGCCTTGGATAAGGAGGGGGCATTGTAACGAGTCGAGAAACGTCGAGATGGTCGCGGTTGATTGTCGAACAAGGACTCGAGCCCATGTTGGAGGTGGTTGCAAAGGCGAACTGTTGCGGTGTCAGGCTGGGCTCCGACTGCTCGTGCCAGCCTGTCTTTTCGGGAGGGTATTCGGACACCGAGCCTTGTTCTTCATATACTACAGGAGGTCGATCCTCTTCAACCCATTGGGTCTTGGTCACGCCCATATATTTGGACTCCCTCTTCGATCTTCCTAGGTGGGAAGCCTCACCCTGAGAGTCTGATTCCCACCAACGACTCGGAGGTCGACCTCGGGAGCTCCCGTTCTCGTAATTTTCGCTGACACTCATACTTAGAATTGGTGACAACGAGGGCATATAGTTGCCGGACCAATTTAGGTTCGGTGGGTTATTACCGCTGGGCGAAGTCGGAACATTGGCTGTTTTGGAAGTGGGCTGGGGACTTTCTCCGATATTCGAGCCTGCAGAACCTCGCCGAGACTGACCTGGCTCTGAGAAGCCAGGGGTATACTGATCTTGTGAAGAAGCTGAATCTCGCCTTGGTTGGGTAACCATTGGCCGGAACAGATCGCGTGTGAGATCAAATATTTCAGACCCCATTGCTCCAATAGCGACCGAATATCGTTCTCGTCTGATTCTCGACTCGCTGACAACAAAATCGGCGAATAGTCGCACTCTGTCTGCATCGCTGGTGGCCTTAGATTCCTTGATAGCAAACTCGCGAAATCGATCAATCGTCCCCTCTGCGAATTGTTCGGCAGTCTGTGTTGTCACCAAATGTTTTGATACGACGAGGCCGGCTGAAGGTGGCCTAGAGGATTCACGGACCCTCGAGACTGATGCAACAGATCCGGATCGTGGAGGTGGGGTGGGAAGAGCTTTAGGAGCAACTGCCTTCGAACTGCTTCCATATTGCACTTGCTTGGAAGCGTTGGGAGAGAATGGTGGTGTTTCGGCTTCTTGAGGCAACTTTCCTGAAGCTGGGGCTCTGGGGGTCGAGTTTCGAGAATCTTGTGATGCAACTGCACCGCTAAGAGGCGTCGACTTGCCAATTGATGCTCGCGACAAATCGGTCGAATTCGGTACCATGATATCTGCCATAGAATCTGGTCGAGTTCGTTCGTCTATCGAACTGCGGATGCTTTGCCGTGTTCGACTCTCGGTCCGCCGTTGCAAGATTGTTTTGTCATGTCGCACTGCCTTCTGACGGTTTAGCCCATTGATACTTGATGAAGAGCCAGGAGCAGGCTCGATAGGCGGGCTAGATGGTATTGAAGTATCGATGGTCAGGCTTGGCGATCGCCTTCGATCCGAAGGGCCTGCTTGGCTTTCATTCTCATTCCAATCCGCAGGCGTAGGTGGAACAGGCCCAAGGTTAGTTACACCAGCTGGTGGTCGTCGTCTGTTTACAGGAGGGGATATGATTGGGACTGAGTTCCTGTCCATGGACTGCACACTTTGCGATCTACTTGATGAAGGCGGAGGGGGTCCAGGTGGAGGTGGAGGTAGAGGCATGCCTGGTTCCCATCTGGACTGAGACGTTGAGCGTGAGCGAGCAGATGTGGGTGTTTCCACAGCTCCTGCAGAAACGGCTCTCCGGGCCGCTGGGGGACCATGCATCATGGCTCCTGCAATTCCATGTTCGGGACTGGGTTGATGGAACGAAGTTTGCACTATCATGCTTTGTCGATGATTTTGAGGAGGTGGTGGTGGAGTACTTGAGCTGTCGGTATCTCTACGACGGCCTAATGATGGGAGGAAACGACGGTCCCGTGAACCGTTGCGTGTGCCTGGAGGAGGAGGAAAGGATGCATTGGCAGGTTCAGGAGAAGGTCGATGCATTGTCGTACCCATTCGAGGCGGCGGAGTCGGAGTCCCATTTGGTGTAGAGTCAAATACTGTGCTCATGGGTCGCTGCTGCTGTTGCTGACTTCTAGGTGGACTATATGGCGGTGGAGGCATAGGCGATACTGGCGCATGTTAGAATACCGAGAATGAAGTTTCCTGATCTGGCAAGCCACTTACCTTGGACCTCGCCTGCATATTGAACAGCGCGCTCGGCGACAGCAGCCTGAGTAGGAGCCCATTCTTGTGGATTGTAAGGCTGTATACTGCTGCCAGGCGTTTGGGCGGCAGAGTGATAATGACTGGAGGTCATGGACACGGCAGATATAGGCGTATTAAGATGGTTGTTGTAGATGCCAGGAGTTGTCGTGAGAGGAAGGAGTCCCTGGCGGAGTCGCGCCGGATCGCGAGAAGTCATGATGAAGGGACAAGCAGGACCAAGCGATTAATAACTTTACTCGATCGCCAGGTCCAGGGTCCCTGTGCCTGTGATGGGCACAACACAACACCAGAAGGAACGGAACGTTTAGTGACAGGCGTATCAGGGCTGTCTCTTTGGCCGGTTGGTTCTGGTACGTGGGGTCCTAGGATGGATCCGCGGGGTGGCGGCGCGTGCGAGCAGAGGAGTGAGTCGATGGGGTGAGGTGAGGATAGGATAGGATAGGATCACAACAGGTGAAACAAGACTCGAGAATAGATCTGAGACGACGAGCAACAGGATTGCTGATCTTTGGTTTGGTGGACCAAATCAGGTGCTTGTTTGAGGTGGTCGCGTCTATTGGAGAAACAAAGAGACACAAAAATAGTGTATGTATGCAGGTGAGGCTCTGCGTGTAAGAAGTTGTCGGTCAATTGACTGGAGGAAGGGAAATATCTCTCATCGATCCATCCACATGTACTGTACAGTAGCTGCAGAAAGGGACGCTTAGTACATCCCTAAAAGCGTAACCAACCAAATGGGAATAAAGATGTGATTGAGGATTGGATGTAAGAGAAGAGAAAGTGGTTGGGTTTAGGTTGGGAACTTTTTGCGAGGAGGGGCTCTCGCTCTCTGTCTGTTACTGTTACAGGCAGTACAAGACCCCTGGTAAGGTAAGGTACGAAGCAGGTCGGGTGGTTTGAAATCACGACAGCTCACTTTTTCCAGGCGGTGTCAGCGGGAGCGACACTGTAACTAAATAAAATAAAAATAATGAGATGAGATGTTTACTTGAAACTGTTCTGCTTATCGCCGATTAGACGGACCAAGACTTGCCTGGAGTGTCTTCTTGGCGGAGACTTTTGCTGGGGTCGTCGACAAAGAAAACGGGGTGGCATGAACGCTATCAGAGTGTGGAACAAAGAGAATTGAATTGACATGGGGAGCTTGTCAATGGCCAATTGTTGGGTTTGTATGAACAACGGCAAGGGGGATCTACAGGTCTACTGTACGCACGCATTGAGGGGAATATTGCTGAGTATGGATAGAGATAGTCGAAGCTTGCGACCGCTTCTTTTTGGTACCATGGGAATTGGAATTCAGCTGACGAAGTTGAGAGATGGCGTTCTGATTAGACCCTAGTTGGGTCTCTGTAGATCCTGTGGGATGCGTTAGAGACGCTAGAGATGTTGAAAGTTGCTGCTTTGATTGCTGAAGTCTGTATCTTTGATAGTGTAAGCATCAGACACACCGAATCCTGTCCAGTCAATACATTACTGTATCGACTGCCTCTTCCTAGGGACGCTGTACTTTACAGTACACTCTGGTTATTCGCATTAATTCGGACCCCACTGAGTGGAAAGGTTGGGATAGACATGCAGAGTTGCAGACGGAGCATTCTATTCTTAGAATCTTGATGTTGCCCATCACTTACTACTATTGGTCAGCAAGGATAGACTATGCGGGTTGAGTGTGGATGCCGGCGCTTAATCGACGGCCCTCGCTGCCTGTCACATTTCTTGGAGGGGAGAGTCTAGAGTCTAGAGAGTCTAAAGAGTCAAGACCCATGACTGAAAAAAGCCGTTCGCTTCCAATTCTGCATGGCCGGATCGAACAGCTGCATAAGAAGCATGTGCAAGGGGGGTCATCGTGGGCTGATCTTGAGTTTGATAGTTCAGTACCTGTACACTGCAGCCACTGCTACTTACGGATGTCTTGTACGAATATTCCGATATCCTTGCATGGATCCCAGAGTTCCATCTAAAGCACGGGACATGAACTATCCGAGTATACAGAAATCTTAATAACGCAAAAGACGGTCAACGGGTCCGATTCAACTACAACCCTCATCGATGAAAAAGTATCGAATATAAATAGGTACAAAGCTCCAGATGGATACCCAAACAGGACTCTTCAACTGGAGTTCGTGTAACTCAACGGCTGACTAAGGTTGCGACGTTGCGCTAAACTCTCTATGACTGACTGACTGTCAGTCTGTCACTCAACAACCTCAAGGATCTTGTCAGCCAAGCATTCTATCTGTTTCAGATGAGATAAACCAGACTCCTTTGGTATTTAAGGGCATCGGTGTGTCTTCCGTGATTCCATATCATATGAGCACCTGTTGGTCTTGGGCCCGAGTTTTTGTCATACTGCCGAACAACCTTGGAACACCGCTACAAAGAAATACCTCTTTTCTATTGATATCTTCTGACAAGTTCGACCATTACCAGCTCTGTTGTTGTTTTCGGGAGAGTTTCTTCTGGATGATCTCAACTTCTCTTCTTGACAGAATGCACGTGCTGCATCGCCGTCATGACAAGCCATTGCTTTAAACTCAATTGAGATGAAGGTAATTCAGTATGTCCACACAATGCAGAAGGCTTTACAAAGTTACTTATCGCCGCGAACCTGCAACCCTTGCTGAATATACAGCAATGAGATGCAGACAGTCAACGAGTGTTGAGTGCCAAAAGAGGTTTGGTCAAAACCAACTTGAGGTTTCGCATACCCTATACCTGACGATAGATTCTAAATATTTTCTTTCCTGAGGCTGAAAAGATGCAAATTGAAAATGACGAGGCTGGTTTCTTGCTCTGAAATGAGCCCCACCAGAAACTGGTCAAATGTGGGGGCACAAGGCTCGAGTAAAATTCTAGAGGCTTCTTCTCCAACGAACTCTCCTCTCTTTTCATCTCTTCATATTCTGCTCTGCTGTCTTCTCTTCTTCTATTTATTGCCAGTTCTTCAAACAAATCTTTCTTGCTTCCTTTCAATCTCTTTATACCCTTTTACCAAACTGTAAGTACACCGCAAACTTCCAACGTTTGTCTCGTGCACCGTCGCATCTTGTATGATGAGATACCAGCTGGCACCAGTCATAGGGTGACTTGTACTCCCTCCATTGATGACCTATATGCTGTGGTCTAGAACCATATCTGATACCAATCGCGACATTTTACTTTTTCACTCGTTCAAATCTTGTCCGATCAAAAGCTAACAGCTTCAAAGTCATATAGTCACAACTCTACGACCGACTTCACAATGGTTCTGCACAACCCCAACAACTGGCACTGGGTCAACAAGGACGTCTCACCATGGGCCAGATCCTACCTCGACGAGGCTCTTACCAAGGTTCAGGCCGAGGATGGCGAGGTCAAGGCAAAGATTGATAAGATTCAGAGCATGGATGGTGATGTCGACGTCAGCCAACGTAAGGGCAAGGTGATTACCATCTTTGACGTCAAGCTGGTTCTCCAGTATTCTGGTAAGGAAAATGTGGTGACTTGAAGACTGCGGACTTGAATACTAACCTTGCAGGATCTGCTCCCGGTGAGGATGATGTTTCTGGCACTATTACCGTGCCTGAGATCGCCCACGACACGGAAGAAGACGAGTACGTGGTACGTAAAACCTCCCCTACTCTTTCGCCTTCCGTGTTGCCGTAGAATAAATCCGCTAAGACCCCTCGTAGTTTGACGTAGACATCTTTGCCGAGTCCAAGGAGAAGCAGCCCGTGAAGGACCTTGTTCGATCAAAGATCGTGCCCCAGCTGCGACAAGAGTTCCAGAAGCTTGCCGGTGCCCTGATCACCGAGCATGGCAAGGACATCCAGCATGCCCCAGGCTCCAACCCTTCAAGCGGGTTCTCGACCCCCAAGGTCCACCCTCAGAGCTCTACTCCTAAGCCCGCCGCTACCACGAGCACCCAGTCCAAGACTGGCTCTGTTGTCAACACTACCACTGTGACCGATAACGAAGAGTTCCGAACCACTGCCGAGGAGCTGTACCAGACTTTCGTCGACCCCCAACGAATCGCTGCCTTCACACGATCCCCTCCCAAGGTCTTCGATGGTGCCAAGGTTGGCGGCAAGTTCGAGCTGTTTGGCGGAAACGTCTCCGGCGAGTACCTCGAGCTTGAGGAGCCCAAGAAGATCACTCAAAGCTGGCGTTTGAACCAGTGGCCCGCTGGTCACTTCTCCAAGCTCCACATTGAGTTTGATCAGAACGATGTCGACCACGTTACCGTTATGCGAGTTAAGTGGGAGGGTGTTCCTATCGGCCAGGAGGACGTTACCAAGCGCAACTGGCTCGAGTACTACGTTAAGAGCATCAAGCAGACTTTCGGGTAAGTTACATATGCATCTGCTGCATGATGGGCCACAGACACTGACACTTTCTAGGTTCGGCACCATTTTGTAAGCGTGAAGAGAGAAACTGGAGTCGTGGAGTTGGGCTGGGACCGGGGTACATACAGAATCAATGCGCTCTCTAGATGAGGGCAGTGACGGGGGTCATAGAGTCGCTGCCGTGGTGGAGGAGGGCGAACGTCGTCTTGGGTGGTCTACACAAGACCTAGGAGCGTGTGGTTACGATATCATGAGCGACGTAAAATGAAATAATGCATCAATGGATACGGCTTGTGGTTGCATAATACTGCTGTGTGACGGTACTATAGAATATGGTTTTTGCATGACAGCCTACCTGCCTACCTACCCTTGATTGAGAGCAGGCGGGCTGTCAGGACCTGTCTCTCTCCCTTTCCCTCATTCCTATATCATCCTCGTGTGTTATGATTCCGCGGTTTTCGCTGTCTCGTTCCCTACTCGACTGTCCCTCTGATCCTTCTCCACGATCGTGCTTCAGCATTGCACCCGCTTCCTCTCTCTTCTGTGTATACAGCCGCAGTCTTCCCAAATCACGCTCGGCCACTTGATAACCTGAAGCTAGACCCGTTGCTTTGCCAGATAGAGATATAGCCTCCGTGTGAGCCAGATATATGTGTTGTCCCATCCACGAAGTCAGGGCTGGCGGACCAAGCCATACCCTGAAGATTGCAACCATAATAGCAATACAGCCAAGGACAACAAAGATAATGGCGGCGGAGACGTAGCATCCTACGTACTTGTCTTTCCGATATCCCACGAAGAAATTACCACTTGTCCCTGGATACATATCCGAGAAAGGATCTCTTTCCTCTCCAAAGGGCTCAAAGTATCTGCCGTCGTTGAATAATATCTTTGTGGTCCCTGGGCCCTCCTCATGGCAGACCATGATTGCTCTGATGATCGCACTTACGGCAGTGAGAAGTGTGGCGTCAGGGATCTTTATGAGAGGCTCTAGCCATGCAGTGAACTCTGGTATTTTTCTCGTGACATTCATGACCTCTCTTCCGATTTGCTCACTTTGAAGTATTGGCCTCCAGCTTGTTTGTAGGTAGTTCATGAAACTGCCTTTGTTGTTGAGAGCACGAATACCCACACCATCGCCTCCGCTGCCTGCCATAGTTTTGCAGTCTAGGTTCTTCACAACTCTGATGACTTGAACCACAGCCATATCGATGTTGTACTGGGAGCGGTTGACCACTGGCACTTCCCAGGTACCTGATGAATCTTCCGGCGCTTTCGCCCACTGGATTTGAAGTTCTGCGAATTTTGACATCCGAAATTCAATTATCGCGTTTTGCGGAGGGTCAAATATTGAGCTGTTAGATATCTCGGTCCTCTGCCATTCTCCCTTATCCTCCGTCATGGTAAATTCTCCTTCAGGTGCCGAACCGTTAGCTACCAATGCCAGTTCTCGGGTAGCTATGTTTCCAGCTTCCCCGTACTTAAAATGAGGCTCCAACATTGGGACGCAGCTGGCATGACCAGACATGATCAACATGTTTGGAGGCAGATCAGTTCTCACACCAGATACAGAATCGTTGTCGCGCTGATAGAAATGAGCAAATGAGCGGCTGATATTGTAGAGTGGAAAATCAGTGATCCAAGGTGTCGTATCACTGAATTCATTTTTGTTGTTGTTGTATACCATGCCCAGTCGATGTCCTGTAAATCTGATTGTTCGGTGGTCGATGTTTTCTATGACTCTGACCTTTGGAGTAACGAATGCGAACTTGTAACCAATAGATGCGGCGATACCCATGACAATGATTGTGTACCTCAGAGTAACGAAGGCTGGAAACCCTCTGATGCCGTAGAGTACCGGTGCCCGGGGTTGCGAATTGAGATACCGGGCATAGTTGAGACCATTCCCACGCTGAGCTTGTCGACTGGACCAAGAGTCGAATATCTGCATATATGCCTCTGCAAAGCCAAAAGACAACAGAGCAAAAGCTACACCAGTAATGGCGATCCAGACTTGAATTCCCCACTCGCGACCAACTTTCAATGCAGCTTGGCCTCGGATCGCCGACTTGTTGTAGCCGATTGGGAGATAAGGCACGCTCGCATCGTCTGGTTCAGGTAGTGCACTATAGTTCGCAAGAGCATTGACGCCAACAAGAATGAGGATCAAACCGCCGATGAGAAGGGCCAATAGCGAGGCAGTACCGAGCATCTGGAGGCGTTTAGGCCGATCAGACTTGATAGGAGCCATAGTGAATTGATTTGCAGTTGCCAGTAAAGTTGACCATGAGGCTTGAAGACACGAAAAGAAGATGGCCGAAGAATCCAATAAAGTGAGACAGCCCTAAGTGATGGTTTATTCTGTCGTGCTCAAAATAGGCTTCAGATCGTGAAGGTAGTCATGTTGGATGCTTAGGTGCGAAACAATCACAGCACCAAGGCCCAGGGAATTTATGAAACAGTTCAATAAGGGTATTTCCCCAAAGTGAGATCGTGGTTCTCTCATTGGTAGTTGACATCAATGAGCAGGATATTGATCGAATATGCTCTTGGCAACTGCATAGAAGCCAATAACATAGGTATCAGCCTGACAATAGGACAGGGGTTGTGATCCTTCAGGCTTTCCAGTCAGCCCGCAGATTCAGCCTGCCGACATATACCCAAAGCGGCTCGAGGGCCCGCCTTTTAATCGGCGCTTCGAAATACAAGTTTTTCAGCGCCTGCGCCTTCTTTCAGCATTCGGCTCGTCTACCCTTTGTCCAAATCCATAGTTGGGCACAAATATGTCAACCAGGTTATCCCATAGTCCCATATCGTAAAGATTCTCAACACTGCTCAAGTTCCAGACACGCTCCCATTGACCTTCTCCAGGAAGTTGAAGATTCTCTGGCGGAGGTTGCCCATCTTGGGTCGTTACCATGATTTGTTGCACATCCACCGGCCAGCGCGCACAGTGAGGCTCAGCTCGTTCGTTCCTGTAGCGATCTGCCGTCATAGACCGGCGGAAAGCATAGCCGTCGCGCATGTCTTCTTTCCATTCTGACCACTTCAGGGTTTCGTTCGTCGTAGTACCGCTGTAGACAAGATAGAGTGTGTAAAGAAGAAGTCCCCAGACGAGCGGAGACGTAAGAGCAGCAAGAAGCGATGAAGCTCCCATGTTGACATTGTCTTGAATGCCCCAACCCCAGCCAGCCAGATACTGATTGAAAGTCATATGGCTGGGTTTCCATATCGACCAACCAGGGCTGTATCTCTGCACTCGCACAGTAATGATTGACATTCCAAGAAAACCACCATAGGTACACAGGAAAGCAGTGGAGAATAGTAACAACAAAAACCAGTGCTGGTTTCCATAGCCAACACACGAGTTGATGAAGACGCAATGATGGTCGGCTTTGGCGATGCAGCGCTTGCAAAGACTGCAATGCTTGGAGCGAGGAGGCTTCAGAAATTTGCAAGTTCGACAAACATGGCCGGGATGAAACAGAGTATGGTCGTATGGGTAGAGAGACATGTAATATGCATGATTCTCAGGCGTGATGTATCCTGGGTCGGCAGAACATGCCAGGTAGAGAAACAGGTAAGGGAGAAAGACCGTGATAGCGACGACGCATTTTGTGAGAGGTCCAATCTTTGGCCATGCCTGAGGGATGAACATGTATTCGCCCACGACCATGATGAGCATAAAGAAGATCTAATGATGTTACTTCAGCGTGTCAATGCAGGGCTAGTATGACAACTTACCACAACAGTCCAGTGTCTATCATTCAACATAAGGTTACCGAAGCGAGATAAATAGCTCGAGACTCTCCCTCCAGTTAGAATCTCATCAACTTTCATAATACTTCTCGGTATTTGAATCCATATTAGCCTGTGCAGTGCAGCTATAGGTGTTCGTCTACACGAATTGTCAGCCTCCTGAATAAAAAGACAGCCTTTGTTATACTGACCGAAGAGCAGGTATGCGACCGAAGAAGGCCACAAAGACCATGAAAGAAATGAATAAGATCAAAAGAACGAGCTTCTTAAAGGGACTCATATTGCTGGCTTGCTTAGAATGATGAGTGTTGAAGAAGGGAAGAGCCAGATTTGCCAGCTCAGTAAGATGCTTGGCAGGAGGATATCGTCAATATTGACGGTGAATCAAAGTGCCATTTTGTCGCAAAAATTGATTAAAAATAGATGAAAAGGAAAGAAAGATACATAAACAAATAATGAATATTAGAGTATTATCTGTAAGATCAGATATTACTGCCTACAGGTACAGGACAAGGACAACTGGGATACCTAGGACATACTAAAGCACGTGACTGCGCGATCTATCGACGCGAGAGAACATTCAAGCTTCTAATTGGCTGCCCTAAACCCGCTGCGATGATGGCGACTTCTTTCGTTTTTGGAGGGGGATCTCCATGCTTTGATAATCATGAACTACTAACAACAAGCGGCGGTTTCGGAGATAAAAAAGTACAAAATAAACTTCTTTTTCATAACATATTGATAGACATCCATTACCTAAACAGAACCCTTCCCTTTCTCTCTCTGATATTCCTTGTTTATATAAACCATGGTTCTCCGCAAATTCGAGCTCGAGGGCAAGCTTGGAGAGGAAGCTCGCCTTATCGAGAGTGGCGTTCTCATCGATGAAAATCCTCTTGATGATACTCCCGAGTTTCATGAGTTTCTCATGGCCTGTCGACGTGGCGATTTGAGAAGATGCCAGGAACTTATTAGTGATGGTGTGAACATCAATGGCAAGGATCGATTCGATTATACGCCTCTCATCATTGTATGTGCCCAAGAGTCTTTGATGTCTAGACGAGGACTAACATCATTAGGCCAGTTTATGTGGGCATTATGAACTTGTCCAATTGCTGTTAGAATCTGGTTAGTAGCCGCTGGGAGACTGAGTTGAGCTTCTATTGGGTATATCGAGTCCATTGCAGCTCTCTCACTTATACGTCGTTCGAACCAAACGCCACTAATACGCTTATCAGGTGCACTCGCTGAAAGAAACACCTTCCAAGGAGAACGATGCATCTATAACGCCCTCAATGACCGTATTCGTAACCTCCTTCTCCAATATGACTTCTCAAAGTCTTCAGATCCTTACGTTTACTGGTCCACTCACATCTCAACTCTCCTCGGCCGCACAAATCCCAAGACGACAGATATCACATTGTCCTCCGGATCTCGCTCTTTCGACCTGCACAAGTTCATCCTTGTTGCGCGATCCCCTTATTTCCGCTCCAAGCTCGCTGCTGTTCCGGACACAACTACCTGGAAGCTTGCACATACCGTTCCTGTGCAGTCATTCCTTGTCGTGCTAAGATATCTTTACTTGGGCGAAGTCCCTCGCGATATCGCACCTGCGGGTAGTGCAGACTCTGAAGAAGACATTCTCAAGGGGTTAGACAAAGTCAGCAAACAGCTCGAAGTCGAGTCTTTGTGGGAAGCTATTCTTGCAGGTGGAGACAGGAGACTTGCTCGCCAGCGATATCAAGCCGAAGTTGAGCGAGCAAGAGGACAATTCGAGAACTTCTTCAAGGACAATGTTCTGGGACATAAAATGGTCGTCGATACAGACCAGGTCAAGGACGTCAAGTGGAAGTACGACAACTCTATGTTCGCCGACGTCATCCTCCGCGCCGATGAACCCATTGACATCGAGGACGAGAAGTCAGGTCAAGCAACACCCACGAAAGATGCTCCCACCATACCCATTGGTCCAGCAGGGGACCAAGATTCTGTTGTCAAGCGCAAGTCTGTTCTGTACCCTGCTCACAAAGCCATGCTCATCCGCAGCGAATACTTTGAGAAGATGTTCTCAGGCGATTTTGTCGAGTCACAGCGCGAGGACCATCTCCGAATAATCACTGTTGACTGTACACCTGCAGTTCTCGAGATCATTCTTACTTTCCTTTACACTGAAAATGCCGTTTGTCCCCTCGAGCATGCCCTTGATCTACTTTACGCCTCGGATATGCTCTTCCTCGATGGTCTTAAGAGCAAGGCCGCTCTAGCCATCAGCACCCTCGGCAGTGGAACCTCCAACGTGTTAGTGGACCGCACCCACGGCGAGGCACAAATGAATGGCGACGCTGGGGAGGAGGCAGAGCAGGTTGAAATGGAGCCCATCAACATCTACGACGTTATTCACGCAGCATGGGATCTTCGTGTCCAGCGTCTAGAAGAGTTTGCAGCGCGGTATCTGGCATACCGCCTGGAGGACTACATAGACGAGGAAGACTTCCAGGCACTTATCGCCGAGTCGGCTCAACGTATCACTGTGCGAGAAGAGACGGATACTATCGAGCTGCTGGACGATATTCGATACTATTTGGGCGATAGATTCAGACTGCGCTTCGAAGATGCTGGTCTCGAGGAAATGATGGACGAGTCGGGAGAAATCATTGATACAGATTTGGCCGCTGCCATGGCCCAGCAGGCGGATCTATCAGTAGATGCGAAGAACGATGTTCCTGAACAGAGCCAGAATGGCATACAGGCGAATGGAAACGGAGAACCCCAAGATGGAGAGGCGGTGCGGACGTTGGATGGAGCCGAAGCAGAGGACGAGTTTGCTTCAGACGCCATCAACTACCAGATCCTGCAGCGCAAGATCGATGCCATGCTCGACCGACTCAAACTTGACGCATAAAACATTTGCTATAGATATGACGTTACAAAGACTTACGGCCTCCTGTTTAAACGCAGCATAAATGTCAACGCTAGATAAAATACAAGACACACATGCATTACAAAACGGCAAATGAAATGGTGTTTATTGATCTTCTCTATACGCAATGCCAAAGCGCTGTTTCCAAGGTGGAATATTGCGTGTGAACCGCTATGATAAGTCTAATCTTGCGCTTTACAACGCTGCTCAAGGTTTCGACTGTACTTCTCATCTTCCAAAACGATGTAGGAATAGATGTGACAAAAGTCTTTGATTCGAAACACACTCACCAGGTGCATGTACAGTTCTTCCAAAGCATCTTGAACCCCACAGTTAGTATTCGACGGTCTTGATCTGTTGCTGCAGCTTGGGTGGCAGCTGTTCCATCTTAGCGAGTCCCATGCGCACACAGTCACCCCAGAAGAACAGGGTACGATCTTGGGCGTAGCTTAAATAATCGAACTCGTCGGGGCTCAGTAGGTCTTCTTCTTTGATAGACTCATCAAGACCTGGGATCTTGGCTTGGACAAGACCCCACGCAATCCAGTGAGCATGATTGGCGGGGCGCCATTGTCGGGTCTCCTCCAACAACTCTCGCACGCGTTGGTCTCGCTGCTCATCGTTGGCTCGTTCCGCAGCGCTCCAACCTCCTGGAGGTACTCGCGCATCAAGCATGAACTCAACGATGGAGCTTGAGCTACTTGCAGCAGGGTTTCCAGGTGTCGCAAGTGGCGTCGACATGCCGCTTGAGGCGTTGCTATCAGCGGGAGCCAGGCGGGGTGTGGAGTTACTGCCTTGGAACCGGGGACGATGATCGACATAAGCCTTGATAAACCGACGTTGTTCATCAAGCGTGGGATATCTTCGCACGTCGCACGCCCAGGGCACCGTAGCATCGTGGTAATTGTATGTCCACTCGTTGAAATGATTGGCAAATTCAAGACCACGAGTGTTGGGTCCCGCATATTCAAAATCGATGACGATGAGCTGCTTATGTTTGTTGGCGGCCTGAAGAAGTGGTGATTTTTCATCATCAGGGCGAATACGAAGAATGTTTCCATATTGAGTCTACGAATATGTCAGTAAGATCTATGTAGGAAATTTCAGGAGAACTTACATCGCTATGCGCAAAGACAAGACTGTCTTTGACTTCTCTTTGGCCCCCCTTGTAAAAGCTGTTTAGATGCACGCGATACTTGGTCATCATGTTTCTGAATTCGGGCCAAGCTGTTCCACACACATAACCCCGCGACTTCCAAGCATGAGCGACAGAATCCTGCTGACCTTGTTGGCCTTCAGCATCCTTCTCATACTCTTTGTCAAGGTAAGTAGCGATCCGCTCCACGTTCTCCAACCACTGGTCCCAACTTTTCCATGTTGCAGGACCGCCTTCTCTCTCATGAGGAAGCAGGTCAATACCATCGTGAAGCTCCCGCATTCGCTTGGCAATCGAGCGAGACATGTCTGGGTCTCGGAGGTCCATTGGAGTGAGTGTGATGGATTCAAAGTACTGTTCGAATCGGCCATTCTGGAAAGTACCAAGCAGTCGGGGCCCAATTTTCTTTCGTGCCAACCTCTGCAGAACAGAAAGCTCATTATCTCGGTCAATGAGATGCTCGACCTGTGGTCCGTAGATACGTAGGAGTACCTTTGTGGGCTTTCGCTTGCCGTCAGATTCGTCAATTTCCTTTGGTGGTGTAACGACGTAAACAGCATTGGTCAAGGCACCGCTCAGCCTTTCAACAGAAATCTTATCACCGCCACCTAGGGGAATGCGCCTCCAGCCCTTAAGCCTCAAGGTGTGGGCGATGCGGATGATCTCGTTCTTGAAGTTGAGCCAGCACTCCCTTTCTTTATCGGCCCTGGTATCGGGATCATTGGCGTCCTGGTCTTCGGCGTCTGCATTACCGCCGCCATAGCTCATTGTCTTGGAATTGTCAAGCCAAACATCGCAGCTGGGGACAATGGCGTCACCATCGGCGTATTCAGTATCGGAAGAAGGGCCACGCAGAGACGATCGAGAGGGAACCTTTCGCTGCTTTGGACGGGTCATTTTAGGTGTCATGTGAGGCACCGAGTTAAGACCCATGTGGGCTAGAGATTCTTCCAAGATGCGCTGAAGTCTGTCAAAAGAAATATCACTTGAGTCCGAGTCGATGGAATCAGAGCGGGGGCGCCCATTGCTGCTTTGTTCGGATCCTTGAACGGGAGCGGGTACAGGTGCTGGTGCAGATTCAGGCGCAGTTTCTCCAGTGCTCTTTCCCTGAGTCTCCTTGTTAGGCGACTTGGACTTGCGACGGCGACCGGTCTTCTTAGATTTCCTGGCATGTGCTTTGGATCGCTCATGTTCCAACCAATCTCCCACTTGTGCCAGTAATTTCTCGCTGTAATACTGTCGGCGGTGTCCGTGATGGTGATGCGAAGAAGGGTTCGAGGTCGGAGCAGGCTCGTCAGGTGCGCGACTAGCGGAAGGACCGTCGCTGAAAGAGGATCTTGAGGAGCTATTGGGTAGCTGGGATGGTGGAGGTTTGCCGCTCAAACGTCGTCGGAGGTTTGTAGGAAACTGCTTTGTATACTGGGACTCATCCTCCAGGGTTTGAATCTCAGACTCGGGTTCCGCGATCTGTACCGCTGCGCTTTGTTAGCCCCAGATCCTCTTTGAAGCTTTTGGTAACCATGCGCCATCGCAATATGCTAAGTACAGATTTTGAATTCAAAGCCATTGAACTGGAAAGACTGGAGTCTTAGCAGCAGGGACGGAAGAATTATCATGACCAACGGCCGTTTCCACAGTCTCGCAGGTCTGTTATCATATTCTAATCCTGTACATGCCCTGCCTGTCCTGATTTCATCTGTCACATGCTTGGATGAAATTGAGTTGTTGCGCAGGCCCCATCGCAAATGCCTTACACTGAACACTGTGCCTTTAGGCACAACTGTTTAAAAAAAGAATATTTGCAAAACTCACCTTTGAGAGAGCCGCTTGGGGGTAGCGGACGTTCGATATCGTCGTCACTCTTGAGAGCTGAACGTAACGGCGGCGGTTGAGGCTGCTGCTGAGCAGACGAGCCGTTTGTCGTGGGGCTCGGCTCAGCAGACATGGTGGGGTTCTTGGCTTTGAGGTGAAGTCGTTGTTCAATATCAGTTGCCGTATACAAGATTGTGAATTGGTAGGCAATGTTCGAAGAAGATGTTAACGAGAATGAATCGCGGTGAGGAAGAATGTCAAGAGGAAGAGAAAGAGAGATTGGTCGAGAACTGAGGCGTCGCTGCAGATGCAAGGAAGCTGGCTGTCGATTGTTCCCCCTCCCGAGCGAAAGAAAAAAGTGGTCCAAGGGTCACTGGCTCGCTTGTAAATGTGGCTGAAGGTGCAGACCTAAGGCACAGGGCATAAGGGGAGGGAGTGTGCTTAGTAGAATCGGGGACTTTTGGGCGTGTGCGTGGTAGAAATCACTTATTCGTATTGGCTGGTTTGTGAGGTTATGCGTTCGATTGAAGTCTAAAATGACATGGCTATTGCTGTATCACAGACACTGATAGGGAAGTCATGAGCAAGCAAGTACGTACGAGAGACGAAAGAAGATATGGATGGAACGAAGCTAGTCTAAGAGATAAGGCCGACTTGCCTTTTAATCATAAATGAAAGGACCCGACGCCAGGTTCACAAAGGGGAAGAGGCCACATGATCTCAACTGCAGAAGCAACCTAACTAAGAGATCTGTCGTCCTTACCTAAATCAACGTCACAGGCATCGCCATCAGTGCCCAGCGCCCACTGTACTATGCTGTAGATCAAAGCAGCCAAGAGTTTAAGGGCTGGGATAAGCCATTCCACGTCATATCCTTGACAGCAAAACTTAAAGACCGGATTCTTACATAGCAATTGATTCTTTACTTGGAGTTTATTACCCAAAAACCGTCACCGAAGAAAACAAGAAACAAGGGTTGGTGAGAAAAAAAGATACAAAAAAGTCCAGAGTCCAGACCGAGCCCTTTCCAGGGTGACGTAGCGTCGGGTGGCTAGTGACGTTATACCCTTTTAGGACTCCTTCGGTAGCACTTTGGGTAGTGTCTCACATGCCACAACCTCCACTAGGAAAGATAGCGTCTACAACTCCTACATCGATGCTCCGCTTCACCGCCAAGAAATGGAACAGCTCCAGGGTCCTCTCATACCGACAAGAAGGGTCCTTTGCTGTTCTTCTGCACTTTTTGTTCTCGACTCACTCGTCGGCTCGTATCTCGGATCACATCCTGCCGGCCCCGAACGCTACCTGTCTATTGACCCGCTCTCGGGAATCCAAGCCGTTAAGGGGGGCTATTCTCGGCATAATGTCAAGTGACCACCTCGGAAGAGGGCCATCTGCGATGTTGTTCTTGCTTTGAGAGATGGTCCAGCCTAGCCAGGCTATATACACACTAGTTTATCAAGCATCTAGTGATGCGACTCAGTCGATACCTACAAACTGACGATGGATAGTATCACAAGTTGTCAAAAACAGCTCGAGTTGATCTGAACTATACCAACTACAATCAAATGAATACATATTGACTACTGTACATTGCAGATTACATCCTTCACCAAATGCGTTCCTACTTCCTCACCTTCGATACCTTACACATTACTAACCTTCAGCTCTTATCTTTTTACTTTTGCATCCGTCCGACCTGGCTAGCCTTCCCGCTCTGATATTATGGTAAGAAGTTCTTTTTCCAACCACTCCTTGGAACTCGAAGAATATGGTCCGTTTCGCAGAGCCCTCGCAACTATAGCCGACCAGGTATCGTCTAAATAACCCGATTCAGTGTACGGGATTAGCTCACTGAACCTTTGCCACGTTTTGACGACACTCTCTGCCTCTTCCCGCGAGATTTCGAACCACTCCTTGTGCTCTTTCGTGCACTCCTTGAATGGACACCACGCGTCTTCCCTTTCCATGTGTAGAGTAAGATGAATCAATTGTTCCATTCTTTGAACCGCACATGGCATCTCGGCCTCGAATTCGATATTGAGTTCTTCGTGGCCGCATGTCCTTTTCCATTCCCGAATTCTCCACTCAGCCGAGTATTTTGAATATCCGATTTTGATATGACCCGGTGCTGATGTATCAGTAAAGCCATAAATCCATCCAGGGTTTCGCCCGTCTTTTGTCCGCCTTGCCCGTTTTGCCATTTGTTCAAGGATTTTGCGAATGTGTTCTTTTCTCTTCAGGGCGAACTTCATAGGCTGAACAGGAGAACGGGCAGTGGTTCCTTCATCCGATTTCGCATCCAGACTCTGGGCATCAGGTTCGCCCTCTCTGCCAGAGACACTGTCAACGAGGTTGAATTTTCGCCTCATGTCTCTTTCCAGGCTGTCAACGTCCGCAAGATCTGCCCCACGCGTCGGGCTCACATCTTGCCGTTTTCTGTTCCTGAAAGAAGATCGACGAGATTTAAAGTCCACGGTGCTAGCAAGTGAACATGGGGTTGAGGCAGACGAGAGCGGAGTGAAAAGTTCGTCAGGATCTGGAGAAGCAATCGATTCAGGCGAAATGATAAACTCATCGTCACTATCAGATGGACGTGATGGTGACTTGGAAGATTCTTCCCCTTTTCTTTTGCCACCGGATGTTAAGCGCCGGCCTCTTACAGGAGTCTGAAAGAGCTCTCGCTCATCCCTATGATTCTCCCTGACTAATCTCGGCCTCTGGCGCTTGTCCTGCCTGCTTGTGCTGGACACGTCGTATTCGTCTGTCTGGTCACTGGCTTCCTGGCTGGGATTGTGCGTGTTTTGGTTGGAAGCTCGCTTGCTCTTTGAAGTGCCTGCATTGGCGTTATTCGATTGCCATTCTTTAAATTTGGAGGACAGCAAGAGTATCAGATCTTCCTGATTGTCCTCGTCGCGTTTTCCATCTTGCCGGAACATGGCTGCATGCCCCCGGGGAGCGCGGCGACAAACGAGCTTGGAGGCCAGCTCTGTAATAGCCCTTTCAACTGATAGGGATACGATTGGGTCTTTATTGGCAGTCTCATGAAGAGACAAGAGCTGCATGAGAAGATTGATGCGCGGTCTGCGTGTGTCAGGCAGAGTGGAAGAGCAAGGTTTCCCGTATCCATCTTCAGTCAAGCAATACCTGGAGCCAGACTCGGGAAGACCAAACGCCTCGTAAAGGCTGCTCAAGGCTTCTTCGGCTGGATTGGGGTTGGGGTTGGGGTTCATTTCGAATGATGATTATGGGGGATTAAATAGACTGAGAAGGTTGCCTTGATCTGAAAAGATTGAGTGACAATGCAGAGTTGGGAGATTTATAGGTTGAGAAACCTGGCGAGGAGGCAGGAGATTTCTAGACACCCTTCCAGGCGCGGAATATTTGCGAACCATCTGCCTACTCGCAAAGGAGTTGACCCGTTACCTTATCCTTACAGCTGCAGGTCAGATTTCCAAGACATTCTGAAGCTCATCCCAGTCGAGATCATCCCTACCATCGCCAAAGCGAGCATTCAACGTACTGCATCAGTGGTTGTCTTCATATTAGATAACCAACGACTGTTTGATACTGAACACATTGCAGTTATTCAGCATAAAAGTTTACTACAATATTAGGTCATCTGTATTTGCATTGTTCGTCTAAACAGTTCTTGGATACCTCAATCGCCTACTCGACATAGAGTCTGAAACCAAACGGGAGGCTGATGTTGGTTACAAGGTTGCTGCAGGAGTATGCTAGCGCCAACAACATCTGCAGCAAAAGGTGAATTATGTCGGTATGTCCGGTGGGGAAGCTCTTCAACATGGATATTACCCCTGGTAAATGCGACAAAAGTTCATAGAACATCAGCTCATTTCTGCGCCAGGAGCCAAGGCTGAAAGCATGTTCCTCTCTTGAAGGTCTGTCTGGTGGTTCAGCATCGACAGAATAACTATACGCAGGTAGATATATGGATAGTAACAAAGAGCCAAAGGCGACTATTGCTTGAGATAGCCTGCTATTCAGACACGCTCATCACAACTTCGCCTCGGCAGCTTCCTGCTCACTGGGATACTTGGCTCCCGCTTCCAAAACTCCATTCTGCACACCATCATCCAAAGGAGGCAGCTTAACGTAACCCTTCGTGTGTGATAAGGCAGACAAGACCCACTCCCGATCAGCCTTGATACCCTCGTTGTTGAGGGCCCAGACGACAGCATCAACCACATCGTCTACAATGACGGCTGGCTTGTATCGGGGCTCCTTCTCCGTCGATGTCTGTCTCCAGACGCCTGTTCGTACGAGGATAGGTACCCATTCGGTTCCGTCCTCTGCCTTGAACTCACTAGCTCCCCGGATATCACTTTCCGGGTTGTCGCCAATCATGTAGACGCGGCGCAGTGGATGGCACTTTGATATGTCATGTTCTGTGCTTTGACCACGGGTGCAAGCCATGTCGTGGTAGTATTGCAGCAGTCTCTCGTGAGCATATTTGTAAGTGAGGTTGAAAGGTTTGCCAAGAGCGCTGTACTCAAGTTCCTTTCCGTTGGTAGTCGTAGACCATACTCCCTTCAGAGCTTCCATGAAAGCGCCTGTACCAAATCGGTTCACGGGGTAGTTCGTCTTCCACAGCATGTCAAGGTTGGAGATCCATAGTCCAGGCTGACCATCTTGCTGCCATCCATTGTTAGGGAGGTTCTCGTTACCGTTCAAGTTCGAAACAGTGCCAAGGTAGCCTTGATGAGAGATCAACAGGTCGTGGATGAGCTGGATATCGACAGACCAGTCTCTTGGGTCGTTCCAGATAAAGATATGGTCAATCTTCAGCGCATTCGCAGGGACGTTTGTCGTATACGGGTCTTTGAGCAAAGGGATTCGCTTGCCGTCAGGTAATGGCGTAGGCTTGCCGTTGACCTCTCCCTCGATATGCTCAAAGGGAAACACGTCCTTGCACTCAGCTAGAATGTCTGCTGGCGTGACGACACGCTTGAAGCCATAGCTAATAGAAATAGTCAGTACATGTACAGAAGCCTTAGCGGGGTAGTCCTTACTCCAGGGCGATTTGTCGAGCTTTCTCAGGATGAGAACCTGTGATCAGAACAGTGCCGTTCTTCTTTATATCCTCACTCCAACCGCTCATCGGTGTGTGCGAAAGAATCATTCTTCCTTTGATAGCATCCTCATGCTTCGGGATCTGAAGCCTCTCCTGCAGGGTATCTTCCTTCTTATTCTCGGGAACGCAACCACCGTTTGTCAAGAAGACGTATCTGACACCATTGCTTCTGAGCATTTTAATAACCTTCTCGGCTCCATCCACCCTGTTGCGGCCCTGATATAAGACGCCATCGATACTTGAACAGGTCAGTGATATGTTTTTTGAGTCGCATGACGAGTATTGTGTACAGGTAAGAATGAATACGAAGGCTTCATTGACTTACTCAAACGCAAAGGCGAACTCGGAGAATATCTTCCGTGCCAGGTCGGTTGGTTCCTCGAACTGATTGGGGTTGACACCTAATGAGCCCTTTGGTTTCGAAAGCGCGACTCGAGATGTATGGAACGTCCTTTGAGATAGAGATGAAGCTCTCAAGACTGTCGTCGCCATAGGCGCGATGTACCGAGGCTGCATCAACCGACGTGCAGCGAATCGGCATTGGCCGACCACACCGAAGCGTTGCATAATAAGTACCGAGTGCCAAGAAGAAGGTTCGCGTATGTGAGTATTTGTAACAAATTGGGCTTTTATATGTATCGTCAAATAAGACAAAGAGCTTGAAAGTGGCTGTTTCTTCCAAGTTAAGTTAGTTGTTAGTTACAGACTATCTACTTGTTAGAGTCATGGTTGATAACAGGGCTCGTCGGTAAAACCCGCCCCATTAATATATATGTACGAGCCGAGCATTGATCAGCTCAACGAAGCAATAGGGAGCTTTGAAATTCACTCCTACTAATGTATTGATATATAGAATCATGGCCTCCGATTGATAATTTCGTTTTATGTATGTAATTTACAATTGATTGAGTGGTTACTACATCACAGTATGCGTCTATGAGTCAATGATTTTGGTGGTACAATATCTTTACAAAACCCGCAATATCTTGTCATCGTACAATCCACGCCAGTTTTTAATGACATCCTAAATAGCCGACATTTTATTTCTTGTCATTCCAGTCCTTGATGTGGTCAAGAATAATGGCAGAAGCTTGCTGAGGCGAATGTTGTCTGCCCAATGCCTCCACAAAGTCGCCATCTGGGTCCATGAGGTAGAAGTAGATGCTGTGATCCACCAAGTAGTCCTGTCCAGGCTTGACGTTCTGCGGCGTGCTGAAGTAGACACGGTACTTCTTGCAGAGATCCTTGATTTGATCGTAGGTGCCGGTCAGTCCGATAAACTTGTCGTGAAATTCGCTCAGATATGACTTGAGAGCCTTGGGGGTATCGCGGGCGGGATCACAGGTGATGAAGATGGGGAGAAGTGCGTCGGGGGCCTTCTTTTCGACCATATCCAACATATCCGCCATCTTATCAAGCTCCTCCGGGCAGATATCCGGACATCGAGTGAAGCCAAAGTAAACCTGGTAACATGTCAGACATCAACTTCAACGTGTGGTATAGTAATGTTCGCTTCTCCCAACTTACCAGAGAGTGCTTGCCCTTCATCATCTCGCTTGTGAAAGGCTTTCCGTTCTGATCTACCAGCTCAAAGGTTCCTCCAACCTTTGGTCTTCCAACGCCCTTGGCCGCCTCAGCTATTCTCTTACGCTGCATGCGCTCTTTCTCGAATTCGAAATACCAGACCAACAAGCCGCAAGTAGCGACGAACATAATTCCGGACTTCCAAGAAAACGGCTATAGCGCATTTGTCAGCTTTTTGCTCACTCATTCCATATCGCAATTTCATATCATTTTCGTGGTCCGTACCCCATTGCTGTATCGGCTCTTGGCCTGCTCGATCGTCTTGTATGCCTTCGTTCGGCGCTGAGTAATGGGCTGTCTGGACTGGACCGGCGCTCGTGGGAGGGTTGGCCGAAGCTGCTTGGGCTGTGCAGCGCTGCTAGAGAAACAGCGTTGACATTGCCGTGTCGAGAGGGACGAAGGTACACCTCTAAAGGCTTTTGATATCGCGACCGGGTTCGACATGGTTAATTACTTCAATGAGGAAGTCGATTGAAGCTCATGCAAAAGCTATCAACTACGTAAACTTACATCTTCCGATTGTCACAAGTTCCAGAAATACACATGGTCCGGGCTTTTACCGGGGTGGCTTGTGCTGTGCTTAGTCATTTTCATGTTCTAACCGTGTACCTAATTCGCAACCTTCCATCTTTCAGTGGCAGTGGCTACAACTTACACCAAAGTTCAACACCTCGTTTGGTGGATAGTCTTGACAAACTGTTCTTAATAGGGATACTGCTTCAACAACTGCTTATCAGCTTTATGATATAATCACATACGTGTCAAGTGACCTATTCATTGAATAAAATCCTATAATTGAACCTGGCTTGGCAGTTATACGCGCCTGCGCTTCAATGGAACAATCAGACTTAGGACAACGCGAGAACCCTCGCTCTGAACCTTTTGACAATGACACAAAAAACGATACAATAGCACAGCCCCTATCAGAGGCTCAAAATTCCTCCTCCAAATCTCCTCCACATCCTTCAACCTCTATCGAACAACCACACAACATGGCCGCCCAAACAGCAGCAAAAAAGAAGGGCACTGCTTCTACAATTAAGAAATCGTCGAAGCGTTCTAACAATACCGGCGGGCCTAGAGCGGCAAAGAAGGCCAAATCTGTGCAGTCAGGATCGACTTCAGGGGAGGCCCCCGAATCGGCAGGATCCGAATTGGAAGAATCTGACCATGGACCGTATTGCATTTGCCGTGGTGCAGACGATCACCGATGGATGATATTCTGCGAAAACTGCGAGGATTGGTACCATGGAGAGTGTATCAACTTGAACAAAGAGATCGGCGAATCTTTGATCGAAAGGTTTATTTGCCCACTCTGCACGACTGAGAACCGCAAAACAATTTACAAAAAGACATGCTCGCTGAGTGGCTGCCGAAAACCTGCACGACTAACTGATGAAGAGCCGAGTGTCTTCTGTTCCGTCGAACATGCGCAAACCTGGTGGGAACGCATGATCGCCAAACTGCCTAAGGGGAAGGGAAAGGGAGTCGCCAACGACCAGCTCACCCAGGAGGAATTTATGGCACTTTTGGAAAGTGGCTCTTCAGGCTTCGACGAGAACGGTAATTGGCGATTAGTCAAGGAACCATTCTCGGGTGAAGAGACGAAGGCAGCCGATACAAGCGGAGAGGGTAAGTCGTTGTTTTTCCAATATCTATTGCATGACATTGACAACTATTCCAGGGGGCGAAAACAATGACGACGCGCTGCATCTTTCTGATGAGGAGAAGGAGTTTCTGAAAAATGCGGCTGCAGCACGGTTCCAACTGGCGGAGGAGACCGTTCTATGCCACAAAATGCTGACCCTCCTGGACTACGCTCATGAGCGTCGCCAGGCAGCTATCAGTGCAGGCCGGTTCAAAGAAGATATTTGCGGCTACGATCAACGTCTTGATACCGTCAGTGCCCGTGACCCTTTCGACGCTTTCGCAAAGTCACAAGAGGGTGAGGCCATCTTTAAAGCGGGTCGGCTTGACGACCCCCTGGGAGAAGGTGACGAGGTGCGCGGCATGTGCGATCGCAAACGCTGCAAGATCCACAGCGGATGGTATAAGATGCTCTCGTCGGGCCTGAAGCATCATATCCGCGAAATGGCGACCCAGGCAGATGAGGTTGGAGAAGAGGAGAAGGTAATGCGCCAGGCCGCAAAGGAACGCTGGAGTAGAAAGCAATCGGAGAACAACTGGGTCGAAGTACTAGACATCTGATACATGACGTTTTGGCGTTGCTGGCGTATATACGGAATACCTTTGCTGGTTTACAGTCGCTCCAGAGTCACTGCGGCAGACAGTTTCAATGGGCTTTGTAGGCCTGTGGCATGAGGGAGTCATGATAGCTTACTTCGTGTTCTCATAGGACTGGTCCTGCTACTCTTGGGCTGAAATTGATAATGCATAATTACCATGGTTCTAAATACCAATGGAAACGTGTCTATTACTATTTCGCTTGTGATAATAGGAAGACTTATTGCAGTAGTAACATAGAGGCTTCATCCATATATGCTTAAATATGGAGGAGTTGGGGACTGTGTGTTGTCATCTTGATATGGATAATCGCTTCTTAATTCAGACCAATATTTATTACGAGTTACCAAACCAGTGAAATGTCATGCGCTAGAATATGCACTTGCAAGCAATTAATACAAATTCGACTCACGAAGTACAACAATTCGGTCATGATCCATTTTAAGTAAAGAGCTGGGCTGCAATAAGCGCCACCACCCCGCAGTCAGGAAAAAAAATCCTCGTCCCGTCAACCAAAAAAAGGTCGAGAAAAACATTTGCCTGCTTATCAAGCAAGCTTCGACTGACAAACTCCAGAAAACACTTCTTGTCTAGCGTACCATCCTAGATAACTTAGTTTTGTCATCTTTTCTAAACGTTCAATATTTCCCTTCTTGCTCAAACAACACATCATATTGAAGCTCGTTACCAAATTACCCCGCCATCATGTCGTCCTCTAACCCCCGCGATCAAAAAGAGCCCGTCGACGAACCGCTCGAGGAGGACATGCTCGCTGCCGACGATGCTGCCGAGGAGATCGCCGACGATGAGGACCTTGCTATGGATTCCGACAACGAGGAAATCCTTCTCCAGAACGACTCTATCGGTTACTTCGACGAACCTAAGGACTCTCTTTTCACCATTGCTCAACATCCTCAGCACCCCTCCATCATTGCCGTTGGTGGTTCAGCCGGTCAAGAGGATGACGCTCCCGGTGCAGGATGGGTCTTCAACACCGCCTCTGCTCAGTCGCGACCTCCGCTGCCTGCTAGTTTCTCAAGCGATCCCGCCGCAGACGCCCTTAAGAGCACCCAGCTCAACTCTCTATTCAGCCTTGACGGCCACACAGACTCAGTGAACACACTCGCCTGGACTCTTCCTCGAGGAGAGGTTCTCGTTAGCGGTGGTCTTGACGGAAGGTTGCGCGCTTGGAAGGCGACCATCTCGAACGATGCGCTCAAGATGGATTTCCTTGGTGAGGCGCAGGAAGTGCCTGAGGTGAACTGGCTTGTACCTTGCCCCTCTGCCACAAACCCCAACACTGTCGCCCTTGGTGCTTCTGACGGCTCCGTTTGGGTATACACCGTTGATCCCACAGACCAGGCCAACCCTCTCCAGATTGTTCAGTCATACTTCCTTCACACTGGCAGCTGTACTGCTGGTGCTTGGACACCTGACGGTCTCTTGCTGGCCACCATCTCCGAAGATGGTAGCTTGTACGTCTGGGATGTCTGGGGTGAGGCTACAGCCAAGAATCTTGTCGGCGACAATGGTATGACTGCTGTCGCTCTGACTGCCGAGGATCAGCGATTCGAGGTTGAGGGTGGTCTTTACTCTCTTGCCATTGATCCCAAGGGCGCTTTTGTCGCCGTTGGAGGTGCCACTGGTGCTATCAAGATTGTGTCGCTTCCACGACTCGCTCCTAGCGGACCCCAGCCTCAGGCCCGCGCTCGTGCTGCTGGAGGTAAGGCCACTGCCCAGTCAACTTCGACCGCTGGTGGTCAGATCCTCGCCGCCCTGCACACACAATCTGAGAGCATTGAGTCACTTGCTCTTGTCACTACTCCCAACACACCACCATCCACCCTCCTCGCCGCCGGTTCCGTCGATGGTTCCATCGTTGTCTACGACGCCACTCGCCGCTTTGCTGTCCGACGACACATCTCCGGCGCCCATGAGGAGCACGCCATCGTCAAGCTCGAGTTCATCCCTAACTCATGGCAACTCACCAGCTGCGGCATGGACGGTGTCGTGCGTCGCTGGGATCTCCGAGGTGCTGGCGCTACAAACCCCAATGCGACTGCCACAGCTGCCGAGGCTGGTCTCCAGAAGGAATGGAAGGGCCACCGTGGTGATGGTGAGGGTGGTGGTGTCTTGGGCTTTGTCCAAGGCCAGACAGGCGAGAGGATTGTCACAGCTGGTGACGACGGTGTGGCTTTGATCTTTGAGGCATAAGTTTTCATTAACAAAGGGTTATGGGAAATGGTATATAGAAAAGGAAAAGCGTTATGCGGAAGTCATGTTCTGCAATTTGATGATTACGAAATGAATAGATTCATAGGGATGATACCCTGGATATTGACAACCATGATTCCTGTGTGCCACAACTCGTGAACGATAGTCATTTCGAATTGAATTGAATTTGACGTGCTCGAATATCAATTGGTAAGATATGTTATTCATATTCGAGTTCAGTCCATGAACACCATTGTTAATTCATCAGAGACGGATATTTTGTTAGTACTATAGGAGAGGACTTCAACTATTAACTTGCTTCGCAACTGTCACAAGAACTCCTACCTATGACCATCATGATTTTGAGGTTCTTGAATGTACTACCTCGGGGAAATCAGTCAAGTCGCTCTTTTTTTTATGACAAGCTATGTCATTGCTCCCGAATTGCATGTTTCATGAGGATGACATAGGTAGTGAGTCGGGGTTATCGATAAGAGCTGGGAAAGCCAGACCCATTAATCGCAGCACTTGATTGGCTCTGCGCTTTCTAGTCATGAACCGCGCTTGTTCAAAATTCTTTGGCCCATGACAGCAATTCGAGATAGCATCATACCTCGATCTACCAAGCTCACGACGACCCTTGCCCTCTACCGAACCCTTTCTTCCTTACTTAATACATAGACAAAATGTTCGGAGGATGTAAGTTTGTTTTCGATCTCGATACTGAATAGTTAACTGACCCTCGCAGTCGCCCCCCCTCAGCAGTCCCAAGAGGAGATCCGCGCCCTCGAGGCCGATGCTGCCTTCACAGTCCAGGGTGCTATCACCACCGCTGTTCTCCTGTACCTCTGTACGTCTGACCAATTTCTCTGTCCTTCGTAAGGCCGTGCTAACAATTCCCCAGCTCCCTTCGCTATCGACCTTGTCGGCAAGATCTTCTAGACTATGATCAGGCCGCAAGTAACTGTCCGCGGAGCTGTTTCCGCAGCGATAATAGTATTATGATCCTTACCAAACTGTGGACGATGGTGTTGTCACCGCGCCATGTACGATACAACCGGTTTAGATGGAACAAACGGGAGACTCATGATTAATCTGTACCAATATTTATTCCAAAAGCGGAAAAAGCCGCGCAATAACATCACTCGGCAATCACCTTTACTTTTGCATGTTCTTTGCGCTCTCTCTTCTTTGAGAAACCCGGATCGTGGTATCACTTGCTTCATGAATATTGTTCTTGCGTATTACAAAGGTTAACAATTTACATCCTATGACGCCTAGGATGAATACCCAATCCTTACTCCAACTCTATGTCACCAATATACATCCTATCAGACACTTGTCTACCCTTGACCCTTGGTGCCCTTGTCGCTAAACAATTTACCCTAATTAAGCCCATCTATTTCGAGTGCGGGTTTCTGGTCTTCTCCCACTCTGAGTAATCAACTGCTAGAGCTTCGAGCTCCTTCTTGATGTGTTGGATCTGCTTCTCATAATCCTCAAGCACCTAAATAAGTTGTTAGTGAGGCGCATCTTTGATGAGTGTTATGTTTCACTTACCCGCTTCGCCTTGGCTTCTCGTTCCGGATCAATGGTCTCTCCCTCAGTGCCACTTGGCTTATCCATCTCCTTGCTGAGCTGGTCGGCGTATCCTCGCAGAACGATAAGACTGCTCCAAAGCTCCTCTTCTCTCGCTCCAACAGCAGGATCTTGAACCTCCCGCTCCAAGTTCTGTAGTCGGCTGCTCAAGTCGTCTTCGTCGCCGCTCAGGGCGTAACCGCGGTTGCGAAGAACTTGAACTCGCGCAGCGAGCGCCAAGCATCGTTCGCTAATGGTTGTTTGTCGTCTACGAGCCGCAACAGCTCGAACCTCGGTCTCAAGCTCATGTCGCTGAAGAATGGCATCCAGACTGCCATTGATCTGATGCAAGCGGGTGTTGAAATCGGAAACAGCGCGCTTCTGCGTCTTAAGGCGGTCGGCAACACCAGAGTACCCGGAGCAGAGCACAGGCATGAAGCCAGGGGCTGGCTTGTTCTGCAGGGCTTCTTCCCATTCTCGGGGGTCTTCGTGGGGTTGAGGCTTGTAGTAAGGAACGTGGCTCTCGTCGACCTTGTTGTAAAAGTAATATTTGAAGGAGCAGTTAGGGTTGGAAGGATCCCATTTTTCAGTAACGAGCTTCATCTGCTCGAGAATCGGCTTCTGGTCTAGATAGATGTTAGTACTCTGAAGCACAGGAGCGTCCTTCGCCAAAGAACATACGGGGCGTTTCCTTTCCAGGCTGCCATAGAGAGTTAGAAAGTTGAGCTTGGGATTGCGATAAAGTGGGCATCTGTTGTGCTTGTGGTTGTTGAATCGATGCGCCCAATGTGCTGCCTTGTTGCTGTTGTTGCGACTGGCCAAAGCCGAATCCTGTATTTTGAGCTGGGGCGGCTGTCTGAGCAGACTGCGTCTGCCCAAACAGCGAAGGCTTTTGCTGTCCAAAGAGCGACATTTTTGGCGATAGTGATGCGACTTCTAAATTGATAGTTGTCGGTCGGAAAGAGCTAAGCTTGAGCTTTAGCTGATGAGATGCGTTGCCGGGACAAAACCCGGATCGGAACGATGAATCAACAACTCAATAGCGAGCAAGTCTAGGTAGCGCAATGATGTTATCGTCGTCGTCAGACTCTTTTAAAATCGCAAGGCTGAAAAATCGGGTTGCTTGGTAGTTCTGCACTGTTTATTTGGCGGCTCAAAATATTTGGAGCTGGCGACGCGAAAACAAAGCTACATTCACTTGGGGCCCCATAGTAGCCTTGTGCCCAGCCTCGCCCCACCAAACAGCCAATCACAGTCAGTCAATTCATACCTTACGCTACCAAATCCTAGCCGAGCGACCTCACATAACCACTCCCGGATTCTTGAATCACCGCAACGTTCGACGATAAGCTTCGCAGAACACCGGCATCATGTCTACCCGAAGGCCCCAGTATGTGCTATATCAAGATGTGCCTCTTGTCTTTGCTCGGGAACCGCTAGCGGGTGCAATTGGGTACTACAACACCTGATAATTGGCTAACCGCTTGAACCATCAGATTCTCCCAGCAGGTGCTCATCGACACCACTCCGTTACCCTCGGATATTCCTGCTGTCAAGGAGGTCGGTGCCAGTTCTGCGCCTCTTCTTTCTGCCTCTTTCTTCATCGGCGCTCGATGCCGCGACTACAACGATGACTACATGCAATGCAAGAACGACAACCCCGGCCGAGGAGAGCTTGAGTGCTTGAAGGAGGGTCGACGAGTTACCCGATGTGCCTCCAGCGTGTATGTCACCTGAAAACCAGGAAAACACCCGTTCTGGGGATATAATTGGGGCGCGACAAGCTCTATTCATGGGAGCAGAAGCTGACCCGGAACAATAGCATCAAGGACATCAACACCCACTGCCTGGCTGAGTTCCGCAAGCACTGGGAGTGCCTCGACGACCGAAACCACCAGCTATGGCAATGCCGCCCTGCTGAGTGGAAGCTTAACAAGTGTGTTTACGACAACTTGGTACGAAACCCATGGTCTTGTGATTCCGACGTCATTCCTGATATATTATGTAGAAACTCGAGAAGAAGGTTCCCGACCAGCCCACCAACTCAACCCCCGTTCACCTCCGACCAAAGCAAATCTTTGCCGACGTGCGCATCGGCCCTGGTGATGGTAAGCCCTTTGTTCCGGGGCAGGAGGATACCCAGCAATAGAGTGCTGGAATCAGTTAGGTCGAGGTTCGATCATGTATATTTGCCGATGAATGAAAGAGAGGATTACCAGCTACCAAATCAAAAATTTGTCCGTTTTCTTACACGAAACAAAATCACAAGGCCTTCCCTGCATGGCCAGCTTCACTTGTCGCACTTTCTTTTCAGCATGACTTTTAATGAGCACAGGCAATATATCGACTTGTCAGCCCTTGTCGACCAGCTGGTTCTGCTAACTCGTCCAGCTGCCAGGTAATATTTCTGAGAGCTGTTCATCCTTGGGTTAATAGTATACTGAATAACATGACTACGAAACGTTACCTGTCACAACAGTACAGGCCTCAAATGCGACGACACGTGCAGCACACTGCGGCGAGCCTTGGACGCCCGATACACGGCACTTAAGACATCCCAAAGAATTTGACAACACTGCTTTTCGGCTAAGCTGTGAAGCTGTGACATGCATGTCTTCATTTCCCGGTGTGGTGTAGGCCAGCTGACAAGATCGAGTGTTGCAAGGGAGCAGAATATCGTCATCCAGATTGAGTGCGGGGGAACAAACCTGGTAGCTAACGGTAGTAACACCTTGGTTCTAGTCCGTTTTGCTTGATTGAAGTCGAGCTCAGAAGTAGGTTGCATAGATCGATGACATACACACATGCTTGAAGGTTGCGAGTTTGGAAAGAGTCACATCTTCAAACCCAGAACATGCTGTTCTTGTTGATGACTGGTCATGGGAGTCACACAGCTTCACCCACAACAGTGAAGTACCCAGACCATGCACATGATCATAAAATTCATGCACCTTGAACTCCTTTGGCCGGGGCTTTTGTTTCGGCTTCACTTGGGCTTTATGAGGTACAGTAACTCTTCTTTATGCAGCTGCCCGTCTCGTTTCAAGTGAACATCGGCCAACAACGAGAACGATTGGTCTTGTCTGTAGGGTCACTGGTAGGAGTTGGAAACAAAATATGTTGTTTTGGTACACGCATCAGGTGACGGGAAGCTGCTTGCATTCGGGCGAGGAGTTCGTCAGTTAAGCGATTGGTGGTCTGAGAGCAGGAGAGAGCGATGCACTGCCATCCGTATAGCAGGGAGCCTGGCTTCAGGTCCATGCTCAATGCTCAAAGATTCTAAAGCTTTCATTTAGGGCAGATATAAAAACAGACTGGGCCTCGGTATAAAAATGAATGATCGTATTTGTCGGCGCTTGTGCGCTTCGTGAAACAAGAAACGGGCTCCAAGCGCCCATGTTTGATACTCTGGATGGGGCATCCCGTTGGTTGGCTGATAGCATTTATACCCCTCCATAGGCGTTTATCAAGGCCGCTGAAATGATAGCCATGGGGAGTGGTATTGTTTTTCTCAGTAATGTTTTAGAATGCTACACCAGATTGTAAGAGTTTGCTTCGAGAAGTGAGGGTGATGCGGTGCTAGCTTACATGATGTTTGCATGTTGCCCAATTGATCGATTGGTTTCCGGTTTCTAACGTATGACAATGTCCGAGGGACTTTGTTTCTATTTTCTATACCAGGCCACGTTCGTATAGTGTTCGAATCATTGTTTGTTTTGCTATTGACTTGATTTTCACTTGTGCGTCTTGACATACCTACACAACGGTCTTATAAACCAACGTAACATCACTACCACCAAGCTGATCGTCTATTGGATCTCAACTGTATCATTCCAGCCCATAAAGCCTTATCACAACCTCAAAACAATATTGACAATGTGAATAGCTCTAATGCGAAATATTCGTACTGATTTGTATAGCTGTAGGGTATGTTGCCTATGAGATTACCTGATATGAAGTGTATATGGAAAGTACTTAAGCGTCGATCTTAACAATCGAGTCAACCGTAACTAATCGAAACTTGATACAAAAGAAACATCGATAAAGTAAAGTAAACTCGATATGAATCAGATAAGCTTTGACGTTCAGACTTGATAATCCATGCTGCCACGTTAAACCCAATTGCGGTGGTGGTGGTGGTGAGGGTCGCTTATTCAGGCGCTGATCCATCGACGGAAATAAACTGACTGCATTGACGGTATGTGAAACAGCGGGGATAATATACCTGAACCTGAGATGCAGTATCAAGGAAAGAGCGCTTAAAGCGCAGTTGAAAAAAAGGAACTGTTGGTCAGGTCCTTTGCCGTGCCAGCATTAGTTGAAGCGGTGAATGAAAAGCCAAGATATCGTGTATCGGTGGTGAGGACGGTTGGATATGTTACAGAGTTGGCTACAGCTATGGTCTATGGTGGAGCTTTTCAGGCCCCGCCCAATATAGGCTCTTGCTTAAAATGCTTGATCTGATCAGAGTTTGACCATGGCTATGACTTAGACTATCAGACTGTACATGACCAAACATGGAATGAATGCCCTCGAAATCGATGATGACGAGGCCCCAAGTACTGAGCGTTGGTGTTAGTGTTGACGGTGGGATCGGCACTACCGAGCCACCGTAATATCTCTCCACAGACTTGAACCACGATAGACGAGTTCGGTGTAGCCGGGAACAAGACTGCCGCGTAATGCTGGGGTTCTGACAGAGCCGCCTGTGAGCTAAGAGAGTATGGTTTTGGACTAGAAAATAAGGATAGAGTGATTTGAGTCGTGTTGAAAGGAATGGAATTGAACGCCACGAGGGTTGAAGCTATTCTATAATGGGAATTCATAGCTGAGTTCAGGTTATCGACAAGAAATGGATTGCGTGTCATGCCGCTCAGTTTCGGAGGTCGGACTTGACTTGACTTTGAGTCCAAGTCGCAGTTATGATCGACTTGATGATTTCAAGACGATTGCGTTTATGGCTGGCTCAACGTGGTCAAGGGAGAATAGGCGAGCCTCAGGGTGTCATAAGAATTGGCCCCCGGCAGCATAAGAGACGAAATAATTTGATCAGCTTATGCCAGCTTAGGCGGCTAGCATTTAGGCTACTTTATTTCCGTAGCCTAGGTAAGTCTTGGAGGACATTTCTTCTAACACCCACCTAGCGAGAGAAGAGGGGTGGGAGACGATTCCATTGAGATACTATGGTAGATCGAATACATCCGCTTCAACAAGAAAGGACTTTGAAGATCCTGTTGATCACTTTATTGTTGTCCATGTGTTTGAATGGATCAACAGACATGATCGGTCTGATGAGTGACATATCAGACAATGATACTAAGAATGGCGTGAATACATGCGATTCAGGTTGGTCCCAAGCTCCTGGGTTCACAACGTGGACCATCTCTTCCTAGTTGTCAGTCAGTCACCACCTACCCTGAGGCAGCCTGTCTGTCGTCTTGTCCGAGGCTACGTGTGAGAGGCAATCACTCTGTTACACGCCAATGTCCGACTGTGGAACTGGACAGAACACAAGAGCTAAGAAAACAGCCGAATGACTTGGTCCGCGGCTTGAGGCCGGTCTATGCTAGGTAAGGCTGTCTTGTGTTGTGTTGTCTTGTTTGTGTTTGTTGTAAGAAATGACGGCTCGTGAACTGGAAATGAGTTCATATGCATAGTAATATCTGATTGACCAGGATAGCTTGGCATATTCCAGTAGAAAGTCAGGTGGTAGAAGACCTCAATTTGGCAATGGCAGCGAAGGTGAAGGAGAGGACGAGGAAGCCTTGGCTGGGAGATGAAGAACGGAGCATAGTAGAGCATTGCCTCAAATTAGTTCGGTTTCAGACATGCTGGACAGGGCATGGGTATGGAGAAAGACTCTCAAGGCTGGCTTCTAGCGGGTCTCGTCTCTCGGACATGCAGATGGGATGCATTTTGTGACTCCACAGAAGCCCGCTACAGCATCCCTGATGGATGCATAGCTTGTTTGATGGGGATAAAGTCGAAGTCAGAGATCTGATTGGGCCAAGACTCTCGGAGATGGATCGTCAGAGCACGCGCCACATCGACCATCTGCAAGGGACGGTGAAAAGGGGTGGATGATTGGATCAGGTACGTACTTTTTCTTTCCTGTCCTTCGACTAGACGGGATTGTGAGAATCCGACTTGGCTGAGGAGAATCTGAGGTGATCTAGAGAGACCAAGTTAATGCATTGGAGGCATCTACTGTATGAGACCCCAAGAACCCAAGAGATGACTGTTAGGAATGCGTTTCGTATTTGTTAATGCTGACTATTGCTGTACAGTACATCGTCACATACGGCGGCACTCGATCACAATCAACCCCGTGCGTAATCCGGCATAATACGAGACCTTCATCTTAATACCTACGATTTGGAGGTTGATCTGACAGATTTGAGATGGGACGGGATGGCACATATCGTCCCGCTGCTAAGGTACATAGACTACCTACACCACCCATACAATAGTAAAACGCATCCGGAAGTTAATGGCAAGCATTGCGAAGCTTTTCGGCTCTTGGACGTCTATGGTAAGTGCATTGTCGTAATCGACTACGGATTAAGAAATGGTTAATTAAAACGTTGACTAGAGGCTTCGAGACTTGATTTTAAACTTCCGGGTGGCTTAGGACTACGCAAGCAAAGAAATGCCCAGAGCTTCAAATACTACGGAACTACTCCAGTAATTAGAATCATTTAATATGTAAATTGACTGATCATGGGTGGCAAGTGGGGGGAAACAGGAAATGATGCGCGACAATTAAGCATCCAATCCTCTCAAATCTCAAGGTCGAATTCTAGACTCTTGAACTCGACAAGGTTTGACGTTAGAAATAAAGTATATCGTCTCGACTGGAATGACTGGATCGTCTTGGCCTTATATCGCATTGCAGGTTCATCCATGATACCTACGAAATGAAATTAGTCAGAGAACAAGCGCCAACTGGCAACTGTTCAGCAGCTATTGTCAAATTCAGTGTCAGATATATTGACCTCAGCTGCTGTCCAGGGTCCCGGAAGTCTCTGGTCCGAGCTGATTGGCAGTGTAGCAGTCTCATCCCGCTTTGGTTTGAGCATGACCAGGGTCCTGACATTTTGATTTGGGTCGCGTCCTTGTTTGATTAGCCATCAGCCGCCAACGCAACAGCGCAGTCCAAGCTGTAGCCAACAACAATGCAATAATAATAATGCAAATGCAAATGCAAATGCAATGCTGCCCTAACACTCCTATACTATCAGTTCCTTTTTTGTATGTCTGATCGTCATGGCCTTGAAACCGATATGCGATATGTTTCTACCAAGCCTCCGGGATACCATACCACCATGATGCAATTGGTGACCCGGCCGATCAGCGGCAGTTTTCTTTTCTTTGTAGCAGTGTTGCAGACACCAGAACGTCTCTTTCATCAGAGGCGTCGAATCGTGGCGGACAGAGAGGCAAAAGGGGAACGTCAACAACAAGCATTCGCGAAAGCCACGGGTTTCATCGTGATTGTGCAGGGCTCGTGCATCTGCCGGGTGCCGAGAGCACAATAATACAGGCAGGTAGGCATTCGCTGAATTGTAGTGAATTGTTGTAGTTATTCAGTGAATATCTAGCTAGGCAGACATTCAGTATTGCTCAGTCCATGGATGTCTAAACTCACAGTTGAGGACTCCAATAATCAATGGATCCAGTGTCAAAGCCACTCCCTCATTGAATGAGATGCCTCGAACCCGAGGCACTAGTGCATGATTCGTTCCTGGTGCCTTGCAGCCCGCTGCAGCATCCGCCATGTTTCTAGCGCCCAGCCCAGGCTATCCCGCCCTAGCGTGATGCACTAGCGCCGTTGTGTTCTCCAGCCCAGGGGTTACTCTAACAACAACACAGCACAACACCTCGGCCAGTGCTTGCCAGTTGTCAAGCACCGGCAAGACCAGAGGAGAGCAGAGCTCAGCCTAGCCCAGCGTCAAAACATCGTTTCTTCCTTGGGACGGCCCTTCACTTTCCCTCAAAACACAACACAACACAATCCTCCTTCTCCGCTTTCTTCCTTTCACACGATCCTTTCTCAACAGTCACTCCTTTGCACTAACATCTTTTCACCGCCGCCTCTCTCTGCTCTGATAGCACGCACCGTACCGCACCCTGTATGTAATAGTAACTCCTCCGTCGACACCCCCTGCTCCTCTTCCCTGCAACACCCCAGCTAATTCTCGATTGCAGGCTCGCCAGATCCCCAGATACCCCCTGCTAAGCATCCAATCAATACCGCACCATCCAGCCAATCGCCCCTGGCCTAACAGTGGCTGTCCGTCTGCGACCCGCCGAGCAGTTCCTTTTTAACGTCGTCGTCCGCTCCGAAGCCATCTCGACCTCTTCTCTTTTCTTCACCCCCTCCAAGAGTCTTCGTCGAACGATAGCAGGGCCTGCCACTCCTTTGTTTGCGTGTCTAGTACATTGCAGTCCACTCCTTCAAAACCAAAACTCTAAAGCCAAGCCTTCCGGTTGAACCGTTGATATATCTCACGACTTCCCTCCAAATCTCATCTCATCTGATCTGATCTGCCACCTTTCGGTACCTATCGCAACTCCAATTCAAGTCGTCCTTCCTTCGGTTCATCCTTCTATCACTCATTATCGTTGAACTACCACCATTGTTCAACCACACCAAATCAAAGCTTTTTTCGAGACTCCTTGACGGAATCTCAAATTCAGCAGTGCTGTCCGCTCATCAATCAGACTGGTTCTGAATCATATCCGATATCAAACAGACACTACACCACAGGTAAGCATATTCTGAATCATCATTGTCTGAATCCTGCATACGTCTATCTGCATCGGCCTGCACTCCTTGTCTCGCCTTGTTCTCCACCCACGTCAGTTCACTCTTTGAGGGATGTCTTGTTCTATATTCTCCCTTTCAAGGACGCCGACTCGGTGTGCCTTGAACACAGCATCGCCGAACAACAAGGGCAACGTCTTTGTCGCCCTGATCAATAGTCGCAAGAAAAAGTCTCCCTATATCTAAGCGAGGGCATTCCCTTGAATTCGATATATCGACACTTTATCTTGTTTCTAATCCCGAATTTTTGTCTCAACACCAAATGTCTTGCACGTTTCTATCCAAACATTCCCCACAAGAAACACCATTCCACCCTCGCTACCAGCTAGCCTCATCGCATTCATCCAGGACACGGAAACAGCTTCTGCCAAGCGGCATTGGTTTAACGATTGCTTAACCGAAAACAGCCACACCTAATATCACTCAAGCTTATATAACTAACTCTATTTCCAGTTCATCTCATCTTGCCTCGTGCCTCTTTACCGATCACTATGAAGGCATCTTTGTTTATGGTCGGCGCTAGCGCCATCCTGGCTTCGGCCAGCCCCATTGGAAACGCTCTTAAGGAGCGTGCCATGAAGACCGAGTGGGTCTACGAGGTTGTTACCGTCGTCGTCACCGAGGACGCTCAGGCCAAGCCCACTGCTCCTGTCTACAAGGCCCCCGAGGCCCCCAAGGTCACTCAGGAGGCTGAGAAGCCCAAGGTTGTCAAGGTGGCCCCTAAGCCCGCTCCCGTCAAGGCCGAGGAGGCTCCCAAGCCTGTTGTCGTTACCGTCTGGGCCGACCCCAAGCCTACCCAGGAGGTTAAGAAGGTCGAGGAGAAGAAGGTCGTTGTTGTCAAGCCCGCCTCCCCTTCTCCCGTCTACGAGGCTCCTGAGCCCGTTGTTGAGAAGCCCAAGACCACCGTCAAGAAGGTTGTCAAGCCTGCTCCCACCAAGGCTGAGCCCAAGCTCGAGCCCAAGGTCACTGTTGAGGCTAGCATCGAATCTTCTGACCTTGACCTCGAGGGTGCCTACGACAAGGTCATGCTTGCTTACCACAACATCCACCGTGCCAACCACTCTGCCCCTGCTCTTGAGTGGGACAACGAGCTTGCCGGCTACGCTGAGAACACCGCCAACGGTTGCGTTTTCGAGCACGACATGTAAGTTTTGATCCATGCATCCAGTGATTCGACAACTAACACATTCTATAGGGAGCAAGGCAAGGGCGGCTACGGTCAGAACCTCGCTTCTTGGGGTGCTACCAGCGATATTGATGGACTCAAGAACAAGGCTGCTGCTGGTGGTATTACCAACCAGTGGTACGACAGTGAGATGTCCAACTGGGCTTTCTACGGCCAGGAGAACCCCCCCTCCGACATGAACATTGACCTGTACGGTCACTTCACCCAGGTTGTCTGGAAGGACTCCACCAAGGTCGGCTGTGCCACTGTCAAGTGCCCTGCCGGCACTGTCCTCAGCTTCCCCTCCTGGTACACTGTCTGCAACTACAACCCTCAGGGTAAGCATTGTTTGAACCTTGATGTCTCTGAGCCAGGCTAACTTTGATCCCCTAGGTAACTTCGGTGGCCGCTACGCCGACAACGTCCTCAAGCCTGAGGGTGCCAAGCGTGTTACTGTCTAGGTGCACAATCCTTTTCGATGATCGGAAAAGGCACGCTTCTACATCCTTGTTACAGAGAAGCCCTGTCATGTCTTGGCTGGGCGAGAACTTGTATCTAGTGCGGTGGCAGAAGGCGTAGCCTCACAACCACGTCTACAGCAACTGTTTCCTTTTTCTCTTCATTTCGATTCTTCAATGTACGTTATGCATCATCGTACTTTACGATCTTCTTTGCTCAACATGGGCCACACGGCCAACTTTCTTCTCATGGTCTTGACTTTACATGCCTGGCGTCTATGAAAAACATGATATCAAATAGGGATGGCGCGTAAGGAATGAGGGGTAACGATGAGTGCCTGTGCTGGCTTCTTTTTTACAATGTCGCATCTTCTCTTCATTGCCTGGCTCTGAGTTACAACAGGTTCGACTCTGTCCCGGCCGACTTGGGGTTTACAGAAGGGTGTTTGATTGATTGCTCAATGTCTCTACAAAAGAGAAGCACGTCGATAGACACGAATGGCACAATGATTTGCCAACAAGCGTTCCTGCTGATACGAATATGTGACGATACCTGTGACCAGTTTCATGTTGTGAGTTAGATGTCTCTGTTGGTAGTAAGGTTGTCTAGCCTTGTGATATATGGCTCATCTTTGCGCTTATAAAGAACAGTTGACTTGAAGCTTTTGTCCATGATTGGCTGATAGAAACGCCGGGTTATAGATACTTCATTGCGTTGTAGATAGAGATGCTTTTCCTGCAGTTGGCCATCGCCATGGCTGAGATACCCGCTTACATGTCGACTTCGCCCACCAATCAACCTGCACTTAACCTCCTCGCTAATGCATCTCAAGCTATTGATGCAGTACAAACACTCTCGCATGATACCACTTCCATGCCTTTTTGCTCAACATGACCAGAGACGAGAGACAACTTTGCGGGGCGAGAGACATTGATCAACAGACCGTTACCGTTTATGTACCACAATAGAACGCTATCGGCAAGGCGGAACATAACGACCTTCCTTCTGTGGGTTGTATCATTGGATATCAGCTTATCGGATATAATGTTGGCTTGCGGCTTCATACAGATATATGCAACCAGTTCAATTTCGAGCGTCTTTGGTGGAGGATTACGTATATTGCGTCCTCTGGTTGGGTCAAGCTACGGCAATAGACATGTAAGGTGGGAACTCGACGGTATGTAAGGGTTATTTGGTTTCAATTAAGCTCTCTCAATAGAATATGGAATCTTTTATAAGCCTCTCCCAAGCCGTCGCTTACATCTCCTCCCACTCAACTCTTCTCGCTGCAGTGTCGCTCATCTCTATTTCCATGTGAATAATGGCGCCATCGATGCTTCACCCTCTCGCTCAGCTTTCCCAAGAAGAGTTTATCCTAGCTCGCAATTGTGTGCTGAAACATCATGGGTCAGGAACTTCTCTCTTCTTCCGCTCTATTCAGCTCCAAGAGCCCAAGAAGGAAGACCTCGTGCCGTTTCTAGTCGCCGAACATGATGGCAGTCTGACTGAGACTACACCTCGCCCTGCGAGATGCGCTCAGGTTGAATACGACATCATAGCCGATACGAGAGACTACACCCGCACTATTGTTAATGTGGATAAAGGAGAGGTTGTCTCTAAAGATGTCCTTGAGAAGAATGCCCACCCAAACATGGCAACGTGAGTTCACCCCATTCATGGTAGGCTATCAACTAATTTGAGCCTTAGATATGAGGTCGAGACCTTCCAAGATGCATGTGTAGAATCACAACTCTTCAAGGATGCCATGTCAGAGTTCACACTGCCAGAAGGTTTTGCTGTATGCATCGATCCTTGGCCCTACGGCGGAACATTTGATGATGGCTATCCTTCGCGTTATATGCAAGGCCTAGTTTTCGGAAAGAATATGTCCAACAACAACCCTGACTCGAACCACTATGCATATCCTATCCCTATCATTCCGGTCATGGATATGGAGACCAAGGCCATCATTCGGGTTGATCGTCTTGCTACAGGCAGCTCGGACGATGACTTTGAGGCAAAGGAAAGGAGTGTATCGCCGACGAAACTATTTCAGAACAGTCACGCTGCAGAGTATGTACCGGAATTGCTGGACAGACCTCTTCGTGAGGGCCTGAAGCCTCTCAATGTGACGCAGCCAGAGGGTGCTTCATTCACGATCTCGTCTGATGGCCTTGTCGAATGGCAGAAGTGGCGCTTCCGTCTCAGCTTTACTCCACGTGAGGGCGCTGTTCTTCACGATATCTGCTACGAGAACCGAAGTATCCTGTACCGCCTTAGTTACAGTGAACTTACTGTTCCCTACAGTGATCCTCGTCCACATTTCCATCGCAAGCATGCCTTCGATCTTGGAGACGGAGGAGTTGGAAGAGCTGCCAACAATCTCCAGCTTGGTTGCGATTGCCTTGGAGCCATTCATTATGTTGACTCGTACCTTGCCAGCCCAGAAGGTATGCCAACGCCTGCGAAGTCTGTCATCTGCTTGCACGAGCAAGACAATGGTGTCCTGTGGAAACATACCAACTTCCGTACCAACCGAGCTGTTGTCACGCGGATGAGAGAGCTGGTTGTCCAATTCATAGTCACGCTGGCTAACTATGAGTACATCTTCGCATATAAGCTTGATCTTGCTGGAAATATCACCATCGAGACTCGCGCAACCGGTGTTGTCAGTGTTGTTGGAATAGACGAGGGCAAGACCAGTCGATACGGTAATATCGTTGCGCCCGGTGTTCTGGCGCAGAATCATCAGCACATCTTCTCGGTGCGTATTGATCCAGCTGTCGATTCGTACAGCGCCGAGGATGTGCAGGTCATTGTAGAAGAGAGCGTTGGAAGACCTATCGACCCAAAGACCAACCCAAGGGGCAACCTGTATGAAGTCGAGCGCAAGAAAGTATCGAAGGCTTCGTGGACAGATGCGGAGCCACGTTTGAACCGTCTCATCAAGCTGGAGCATGCTTCAAAGCGAAATGCTATGTCGGGTCGTCCTGTCGCATACAAGCTCATACCACCAGCAACGCAAATGATGTTGGCAGATGCGGAGAGTGTGGCTGCTGCGAGAGCTCCATTTGCTCATCATAATGTCTGGTTCACTGGTTATCGTGACGGCGAGCTCTGGGCAGCAGGAGAGTTTACGAATCAGAGTAAGGAAGAAGTTGGGGGAGTGTCGGACATGGTGAAGAGAGGGGACTGGTTCACGGATGAAGACAGAGTAGAGACAACAAACGGCAATAGTGAAGACCACAAGAAAGGGCGACGCAGTAGTCCTGTCGTTTGGGTATCTTTCGGTCTCACTCACAACCCGAGAGTTGAAGACTGGCCTGTTATGTTTGTGCTCTGTACCCCCGAACTTGAGTATAGGATTGCTAACGAGAAGCTAGGCCGGTTGAAACGCACCAGATACATCTTCGTCCTGCTGATTTCTTTACGTCTAATCCCGCCTTGGATGTTCCATCAACCAAGAACGAGAGCAGTGTATTGGTATCTTGCTGTGATAGAATCAAGACTACTGAACAAGTGAAGAAGCCTTTGGTGCAGGAGAACCCCGTGGGTCATCTTCAGGGAGGTGGCAATGGCATTGAGGCAAGGATTGCCGGTGCTCATGTCGATGATGGAGTAAAAGCTTGAGGCAGAGGGACATGTCGCTTGGGCTGACCTAATGGTGTAAGTGCAGTGCAGAAACATGCGCAGCTTCATAGTACTTCAGTAGATATGACATGAGCAATAGCATCATCTTGGGTATTGTATTATTACGACTTAGTGCTCGATCTTGAGCGAAAAGTCTATGTGCGGCACGCCCTGGTGAATCGAACTCGTCGACAGGATATCAACATCTAAAATATGATAGTCAGCATAATTGTCGTGACTAAGAAAGCGAAACTTACCATTGCACAAGTACGCTTCAAAGTTGTCCTCCTGAAGGCCACCAGAAACCTCCAACAGGAAGTGTCTCTTCCCTTGCCAACGCTCCTTGAGACTTCGCGAAGCAACCTTAACACCATCACCAGTGAAGTTATCCAACATGACAACATCGGCACCAGCTTCAATCGCCTCGTCCGCCTCAGTCTCGCTCTGCACTTCAACCTCGACCTTCATGCTGAATCCACCAACTGATTTGGCAGCCTTGACGGCATCGGTGATACTACCCCGACTCCAGACGTGGTTATCCTTGAGCATGATCATGGCGCTGAGATCCATTCTGTGAGCGTCCGCGCCACCAACCAACATGCCATACTTCTCGACAAGACGGAAACCCGGTGTCGTCTTTCGTGTTCCTGCGATCACGCCTGTGTATCCAGCATCGTGTGCAATCGATACGAGTCGCGAACTCTTAGTCGCAACGCCCGAGCATCGCGCAAGGGTATTCAACGCAACTCTCTCTCCGAGAAGTATTCCGCGCACAGGACCCTTGACGGTTGCGACTCGGTGCTTGCCATTGCTCAGATCGACAGCAGTTCCCTCTTCAGCGTGCCATTCAACCGTGCAGCCGCACTGCGCAAAGACCTCGTCGAAGAAGGGTCGGCCGGCGATGACACCGCTTGATTTGCCCCAGAGGGTAGCGACACGGGGACCATCGCCGACAACGAAGCCGGCATAGTCGAAGGATGGCGTGTCTTCGGCGAGCCAAGCTGTCACCGAAGTTTTCCACGAAGGAGGGAGGAGGTTTGCGAGGTTTCCTTGAGGTTGTGACATTGTTGATTGGGAATACCGATTGAAGAAGAAAGAGAGTAATGAGGAGGAAAAGAAAGTGGCGAGAGAAAATAAATGGTAATGATAGTAGCCGCAGTCCCGGGTTAGGATAAGTTTACGGTGCGGGCGGATGGCGGCCGGAGTCGGATCTCCCCCGCATTCATTGCCGGAACAAGTGGGGGTGGGGGATCGGATGGGGCCGGCTTATCTCTTATCTTTTTTTGTTGTGCATGTGAAGTCCAAGTATTCTGGAAGAAGGAAAAGCCGATGGCTAGCTGGATATGCAGTTATCATGAGCAACAATGTATGGTATATTCTATGACAAAGGAAATGTATCTACCCATATCCTCCAACTCCAAACAAAGAAGATAAAGCTATAACAGAAAGAGGACCTGCCTGGCATCATGAGTTGAACAACATGAAGAAAAGAAAAGAAAAAAAGAAGAAAAAAAAGGGAAACCGGGAATGCATTGCCAAAGACCTGTTAACACCCCAACTATGTGAAAACCCAACCGTCAAAACATAAAACACAAAAAAGAACAATGTGAAAAACAGGCAACGTTAAGCAGTGACCGGGTATCAAACAAATGCGCTGAGTCGTCGAAGAACATTCCTAAAGCTTATCTCCCATCGTCGCCGTGGAGATTTGTCGCTGCTGTGTTGTTGCTGACATGACTTCGTATGTCCATACAACGTCTAGATCGTTTCGCTTCATTTCGCTTCGCTCGTGTCTTCTTCGTCTAATCTGATTGGGTTGTTGAAAGACATCAACAACACCTCTTTGTCTCCTTGCGGGCCTCTGGATTTGTCTGCTCCTGAGTTCCCGCCTGCTCAACCGTGATGGCAGGAGAGAAACCTGGTGAAAATAACCAGCTACGCCGGTCACGACCTACACGGAAACTGCCTCGAGCATCAGCGCCCGCGAAGTAACCGCCATCCATGCCAGCTTCGTAGCCTGGTGTGCCGGGAATTGCCGTAGCCATTAAAAGGGCCTGCTGCATCTTACGATTCTGCTCGACGAGTTTACGTGTGACGACCCGGAACACTTCTTCAACGCCCTCGCCCGTCTCAGCACTGATTTCGTGGCAGGCATCCCATCCAACCTCTTGTGCCCAGAAACCAGAGCTACGCTTCGAGCTGGGACTGTGGAGCTCCATGGAAGGCGGTGACATTGCATGAGCTCCTGACATGGGCGTAGAGATAGGGTAAGGGGTTGCTGTCGGGGGCGGCGTGCTGCCAACGCCTGGGGCGAGGTTCTCAGCGACGTAGGCGATACAGCGTTCGAACGGGACTTGGCGGGCTGAGGGATCGCGGGCGACGATATCGGCTTTTGTACCAACTACGTGAAGAACAACATCATGGGGAAGGTTTCGTCGGAGTTCCATGAGCCAAACACCCATATCGGCAAAAGATTGTGCGTCGGTGATGCTGTAGCAGAGGATGCAGGCGTTCGCGCCGCGATAATATAGTCGGGAGATGGATCGAAAACGTTCTTGTCCAGCTGGAAGATGGTGTTAGAATGGTAACAACCTGTTTGATTCCTTATCAAGACCAACCTGTATCCCATATTTGAAGACGAACAAGGGTATCGGAGTCGGAGTCAACAACGCGCTTTGTAAGAAAACTGGCGCCAACGGTGGAGGTGATTTGAGCCGGATTGAAAGCGCCTTTACAATATCTCATAACCAGAGACGTCTTCCCAACGCCTTGGGCGCCGAGTACGACGATCTTGGCTTCGAGCGACGACATGATTTAGGTGGTGGCCGCGTCGTTTGAGCCAAGTGGGGGAGGAGGGAGTTGAATCCTCCCGTTTGGAAAAAAGGACGAAGAGAAAGGGGGGGCAAGGAAACCCGAGGCGCACGGAAAAGGAGGAAAGAAGCAAAAAAGGAAAAGGAAAACAAGGGGAAGGAGAAAAAGAGGTGAAGCGGGACGCGATGGTTTTAAAGAAGGATAAAAAAAAGATGGGCGTAAAAGAAATAGAGGGTAGCCGGGTTTGACTTGACTGGCTTGGTTCGCTCGACCTGACTTGGTGGTGGTGTGTAGGTAGATAAACTTATTCTGGAGGATGCTTAATTTCGTGGGTGTGTGCGAACAAAGATTCTGGAGGCGCAGGGTTCAAGGTGGTCACTATTGTTGTTTATTTTAGAATCTCAAGTGGAAATATTCTGAAAGAGTTTGATTAAGTAGAGGTAGGTAGGTTGTTGAAGTAGTAGAATTGGTCTGCGTCTGCGTCTGCGTCTAGAGTTAGAAGTTGAGGGACACAGCATGACCAGAGTACAACAGCGCAGCGCAGCACAGCACCTATGGAACTAAACCCGAGGTTGAGCGGCTGAATGCGGTGATGAGAATGAAAGGGGAAAGTCAACAACAGCAGCAATTACAGAGAATGACTCAAGTTTAGGCAGCAAACAATAGATGCAGTCCTCGGTTATTCTCTAATCATTAACAAACAATGACACTAAAGATACAGGGAAATAAAATAAGCAAGACAGCCTCTTCCAAACGGTCAGTTGAATCTAATATCTTTGTCGATGTGATCCAAACTGACGGGAATGATATCAATGAAACCCCCGGTCGCTTCAGGCGCCTCTACAACTACAAGGTCCAATCCACTGGAACCCGCTGGACGACCCCACTGAAACAAAGCACCCGACGGGGTATCCAGGAGCCTCACGTCCGCTGACGACATACGCTAGCGGCCGTAACCCTTCACGTGGCACAAACACTCTACGTCATTTCATTCAACGGCTTTTTTTGGTTTTGGTTTTGGTCTGTCAGTTGAGTAACTTAACGGCTAGAGTCGATGGGTATTATTGCTATCAATTCCAAAGCGCAACCACAATCAGAGTGTGGTTATTAACAATAAACACCGCAAAACACTCTTATCGCTTGCACAACTCTACAATGAACAATGGCCGCGTAGACAGTGACTCGAATGTCTCTCATCACCAGACCTTCAGGTATCACCAACAAGACCAAACCGATCTTGTCTGCAAAAGTTCCAGCTCCGTTTGATACTCCTCTCTCCCCGCAATGGTCTAGTCTACACCGCTCCGATCTTTCCAGTCTCGACTTCTCTCTTGCAACACAGCCTCTGTCTGCAGTTATCCTTTCCTTATCGTATCCCATCTTATGCAACTGTGCGAGAGCGGTTCATTCAACAAACCAACAGGCCAACCAACGCCTCGACTAATACCCAATTAACATTAGCATGCGGGGTTTGATTGCATACATATAATACTGTAATTCGCTCAGATTTGGTCGTAGTGTCTCCATCGAATTATATTATCCATGGGGCTGGGCAACCAAGATCGGCCTTGCAGCAGCAGATGCATGCCATGGTCATACCGTACTACATTACATTGCAACGTCACGGTCAGCCCAAGACCAGGCCGAGATATTCTTTCAGACCTTCTTTGAAGATCGTGCATGATGCTTGTCCATGTACCTATATCAGACTGATAACTGACCTTTTCGAGGTTTATCACGGATATGCGGATTCACCGCTATCAACCAGTGTCGCCATGATCTACACGCCCAATGGTACTTCCCCCGCAAGCACTCAATCCCGCGCCTGTCCGTCTCTTATAGGGGATGCGTGCGTATCGCAATCTACTAAGACAATAGCACAAGCTCGATCGGTATAATTTCCATTCAAAGAGCCTACAAAACGAAAACAGGTACACAATTTTTACCCCAGCACAGCAATCTTTAGTGTCTCTCAGGCGTCTCAAAATCTGAATCATCAGACGAGAAACATGTCTTGAGACATGGTCACGTCGAGTCCAGATGACGTACAACAAGACACAGTCAGAAACACAGCAAGCATTGAAGAGCTCAGCTGTCCACAGATCGCGATCTTATTTAGAAGGGACAGTTTCCGCCAAATGAAGCGATTTATTTTGAGTGAGTCTAGTCTAGTCTCGCCGAAATGCATTCCTCGGAGATGAAGTCTATGCGTTAAAATATCTAGGCACAAAAGGAGAATAAGGTCCTTCCCTGTCAATCATTTTGAGATCCTTCCTCCCTTGTCGCTACTCGCTATGTATTCCGCACCCCGCATTTACATCCCACTTCAGCCCTGTTTACATAAGGCTCCGAGCTTCTCCAGACTTCATAGTTCATACAACGATGCTCGACCGTGCCATCCCAGCAACGGGCGGCTACATAAAGAACACCGATACCAGAACCAGATATCTGCAAAAAGGCACCAAAAGTAACAATTGGAAGGCGTTGGGATTGCTCCCGCCAGGGCTTGAACCTGAGACCTTCGCATCACTGAATATTCAGATTGAAGTATTAGTACGACGCTCTAACCAACTGAGCTACGGAAGCCGTCCAATTGTTGACAACGACCTCAGATCTTAGCAATCATGACCCCAGAAACAATCAACCTGACGTTGTCGGATCACTTGCTTGTCTACCAACTTCCATGTTTTTACCAATACTATTTGAGTACTTAACTGACTGCAGCCGTAATTTTCGACATAATAGGTTGATGCTAACAAGTGGCTCTATACAGGGTAGATTGGTTTCAGACTCGAGCCCATTTTACCCTACCTTTTCATAGTCCTCGGTTTTGCAGCAAAGAAGATCATTTTCATTCTCAAGAAACCATATACCGCATATCAAGTTTCGCTTGTGGGGGATGCGTTGAGATTATCAAACTTTTGCACGGTACGACACGACTCCAGGTGGAAGAAACGTTGTGAAGAAGTATCAGGCTCTGAGCCTCAATATATATGTATATCGGAATTAACCACCTAAATGCGCCTTATTCAAGCTGGCTTTGGTCTATCAGTTGCTGTATCATATTTTCTCATTCATACATAAATCCTCGAATTCCTCTCAACGCCGACGGCTTCTTATCCTTCTTGGCACTCGCTTCGTCCTTTCCCTTGTCCTTGGACTCCTTTCGGAGTCGGTTCTGCGTTGCACTAGCAAACAGGTCCGAGTGACTTCTCGCAAGTAACCGTCCTGCTTCTCCGCGTCCAAAACGTAGAGTATCTGGACTCATTGACAGAGACGAAGTATCCGGTGACCCGGGAGGATGCGCCCAACCCCCGGATTTTGGCGATATTGCACCCTCGGGCCTGTGGCCCAGAGGCGGCGTCACGTTGAAGGCAGCGCCTTCTCCAGCATCAGGATTCGATAGAACGCGGGGCGGTCTCGTCTTCATCATCACTGGGCTTGTTGATACAGAAAAAGACCCCTGCTCAGCTTCCGACATGTTTGATGTCTCGATCCTGAGGTGACTGGGCTTTATCTCTGTCTTCATATCCAGAAGAGATGATTGTAGCGCCGTGTACTTGCGAGTCAGAAGATCGCACTGTCTTTGTAGCTCGGCCTGTTTCTCTCGGCTTGCTGCGAGCATTGACTCGATCGCCTCCTTTCCACCTCGAGTTGGTCGAGTCCTAAAATCCTCTAGGGCCTCAGATAGCTTTGTTTGGAGTGCTGCGATTTGACCCTGAAACAACTTCCGGGTACGCTCTATTTCGCCTTCGCGACTAGCGAGTTGCAGATTCAATTCCTCAACCTTACTCTCAGCTCCTGCAGCAGCAGCGATTGCTCGCTGTTGCTCTAGTTCCTTGGCCTGGTAATCACGCTCTACTATTGTAAGCCTGGCCACTTCGCTCTTTAACCGGTCAATCTCAGCGCTGTGAAGCTCGATCGACTGCATGTTCTGCTTCCAATTCACCTCCTTAACCTCAGCCTCACACAGGAGCACGCGCAACTTGTCACGTTCTGCCGTTGAATTCTCCAGCTCCTTTTGAAGAGTTTCATAGTCTGACTTGAGTTTCTTCGATTCGTCACGCAGCTTCTTAAGCTTGGTAGAAAGATCGGCCTCCCACTTCTTCGCCAGGGCACGGCTCTTTTCCGAGTCCCTCCGGACCTGCATTTCGGCCTTCTTGGCTTCTTCGAATCGATGCTTCAGATTGCGATTCGTGATCAAGAGATTCTGAGTTTCCGCTTCAGTTACCGCCTCTTCCATGTGGCGCCTTCGCAAGTCACCAATATGTGCCATATGCTGCTGCTTCAGATATCTTTCGAAGTTGAGATCGTTCTGAAGCAACAGAATCTGACGCTGTAGATGAGATACTTGCGTATTCGTCTCGGTCAAAGAGAGAGGAGTGCTAATATTTGGGGGTGCGCCCGACAGCGATGGGCCGAGTCGGTCTGCAATGGAGTCTTGGTTACTGAGTGAAAGCGATGGGACACTGTCGTTGGCCAAAGACTGATGCAGACCGGATTTGATAGCTTTATTCGACTGGATCATATCTTGCAGCTGTGTATGAGATGATGACTGGATAAGATGAGGTCCCAGGGTTGGACTATCGACACTCGGCTCTCGTATCCTGGCATCTATGGAGTCTCGAGTAGAGGGGAGGCTGGACTGAGATCCCCGTCGAATTAGAGCAGAAGGCCGACGACTACTCGCGATAGACTCCATACTTGCAGATGTGGGCAAACGATAACCACCAGTAGCCTCAGCTGTTGTCTTAGGGTTTGATGGATCCTGGAGTTCTCTGGTATGGTCCTCGTTCGATGGACAAGCCTCTGGAGTGGACAAATTGTGGCCTACAGATGGATCTGATTCTGACAGAATGCACAACGCCATGCACTCAGCAACAACCTCTGATGCCTCGCTTTTTATCCAACGACCAAAATCTGTCTTTTCTGAATCGATTGTAAGAGTGAAGAAGTTGGGGTGTAGCAAATGACACCGACGAAACCTTTCTGACTGGTCCCGAATCTCTGTTGGTTGTACTTCCATGTCGTTAGCATTGGCCACGTTGGCGTGGCGTAAATATCTCTGGGGCTTGCGGATATAGTCCATGAAATTGATGGGATATAGACCATAGAGGATAGTATAGTAGCTGAGAAGATGATATATAGGGTGGTCATCGACCTCAGCTTCGTAACCACATTTCTCCCAGCCAGTCGAATCTGCATCCTCTGGTTGGGGCTCAATTATTCCAGCTTGCTCTCGTGACCAAAATAGCAACCTGGCATAAATATTGAATAGCGTAGGCAGATGTGGAACGAGCGAACTGGGCATTTGAGGCAGAAGCATCGTAAGAACTGTTAGTGCAGCTGACACAATAGTTGTCGAGCTGTCCTGTTGCAGACACTTCATTATATCGGCAAATAGAGGGGTTTGTAAGATTTGATGGAGATGAGGGGGTTGGCTCTGAAGGTAGTCACCCAAGAACCGCAAGACAGCTTTGCGGTATTGTTTCTTGACAAAGTAACGGTCCAGAGCTGTAAACAGTTCCTTGCTCAAGTCAGCTAGGCTACGAGTATGGTATTGGGTATGACTAACCTTGGGGTGCTTCTTTCCAAACTGCACGAGAGCTTCCCGCGTTATTCTTTCGTTTGGTTCCAGGTGTGTTAGAGCTTCAGATACTGAGGGGTATAATTTCTCCATCCATCCTGTGAACAACCGATCGATAAGCGGGTTGGAAGCAAGGTCAGCCTCAGATACATCATGATCCTCTTCCGCAACGGCGATGATTTCCATGATGTTGGCTAGTGATTCTTCCACGACACCCTTTTCAGGAGAGGACTTGGACAGAAGTGCGGAACAAGAATCCCACCATGCAAAGATGCGCTCGGGAGTCCGAAGTACAGGCAGAAACTGCCGAAGGAGGATCAAGAAGGGTGCAAAAGCGGTAGGCCTATCCTTGACGTGCTTGTCAAAGACGGAGAACAGCTCCTCCTGCAGACGATCGGCTGCAGCGTCATCTTGCTTCTGGTGTCGGCGGAGGTAGGAGTCGATGGTCTGTACTAAGTCGTCGGGAAGAGAAGGGGTTGGCTGCGAGAGGTAGGCAACGATCGCCTTTGAGAGGTCCTTCAGCGACCTGGACAAGTGGAGATGAGTGTCAGCGAGCAACAGACAAGTGTTTCTCAAGGGAGGTGAGTGTGCAGAAGCCAAAGGAGGAGATGGAATGGAAGATCACAAGGCACGAGTCGCGGGGTGAGGGGGACTCGCCGAGTCGATGGACTGGACGACTGCTTGGGATGGAGTTTTCTGCAGGGAACAATATGACGTACGCCGATGAAGCCATGACTGGCGTAACGGCCTCATCCGGGACTCGTGAGACTCGAGGTGAGCAGACCGAGGTGATGAGGCCTGTTTGAATGTGGATATTGAATTGAGTTCTTGAAGCGGACGGGGATTTAATCTAGGTGAAGCTATTCGGTGTCGGGCGCAGACAGCATGATTTTACGGCGCGGCGCGGCGCGGTTAACCTTGCAGCTGATTGAAAAGGTGGTGCGAGTTTGTGGCGTTGAGTGGAGCGTACCCGCTGGAGCAGGTGCTGTAGGGGCTCTTCACTGAAAACAGCGGATGGAAGTCGTGCCATAGAGGGGCAGTCTAGGCACTTCAGTTGATACAAGTGTAGTGGGGCCGGCAGAAAGCTGATCGTCCACCCGCTGAACCCAGTCATGACCCAGCATTGTTCCTTATACCTTTTCGTCGTAGGTGGAGACAGCCTTCTCCGGGGGTACCTTAGACTTAAGCCAAGGACCCATTCATCGAGCTAACAACCCCGCACTTTCCTCAGCTAGCGCAACTGCAGACGAGACTGTACATGACTTTGTGAGAATAGCAGATCACACCAGATATCGAGCCACCTTTGGCCAGGCGTCAGTCACCAGTCACCAGTCTGGATTGAGTGAGGTGGTTGCCGTTCAATTCAATCGATGAGGGGAAAGCTTCAGGGCAAAGCAACCACAGGAACATTCCTTGCCGTGCTTTAAAACCTTCATCTCCTCTTGCTCGTCTTCTTCTCTTTTCCTTCCTTTCTCATCATTATCCAGATCACTTACAAACCAACCAATTTGACTCTCCACCAACACCAACAACAACAACTTTCTTCCATAGTAGCCAGCATCTACATTTGTGCTTGCCTACTTACTCATACTCATTGACTTTTCAATCCGTCACAATTCTTCTTCAATACAAACCTTCTTCTAAACCTCCAACAATACCGCCAAGATGAGTGCACAGAAGACCTCGGCCATTGCTGACCAGGAGCCCGTTGACGTTCTCTTCGCTATCCACGAAAAGTTCGATCTTCTGGACTTTGCCGGCGCGCTCGAGGTCTTTACTACTGCTTGTCACGACTTCAAGGACCCTGACAGTAAGTAATCATATCTACCCGTACAGTACATCGCATCACAGTACCGCTCGATCTGGCGTCGGTACGGTGCGATGCAGTCCAATACAGTGCAATCCTATTCGACTTTACCCCTCCCGCTGATCACTTTTCCTCTTCCGATAGACAACAAGGCCTTTGAGGTCACCGTCGTTGGCCCCGAGCCCAAGGTCCTCTCCGACCAGGGTATCGTCGTTGGCGCCCAGATCACCTACAAGGAGGCACACGAGCGCCTTGAGGACTTTGACATCCTCGTCGTCGTCGGTGGTAACTGCAAGGAAGTTGTCGCCAAGGAGCTCCAACCCCTTCCCCTCATTACCGACTTCTCAGAGCTTCAGAAGCGTGATCCTGCCCGCGAGCGTACAATCCTCTCCGTCTGCACCGGTGCCCTCTTCCTTGGCAAGCAGGGCATCCTCTCCGGCTTGTCTGCCACCACCCACCCCGATTACCTTACTACCTTTGAGAACATCTGTAGCGATGCTGCTACCGTGAACCTTCAGGAGCGTACCGATGTGGTAGAGGACGCTCGCTACGTTGTCAACAACCTACGATTCGATCTCGGCGAGGACGAGAGCCCCTACATCCGCCGCAAGTCCGATGCTGGTCAGGGACGTCGCCCTTCGGCAGCCCGGTACGTTATAGTTCTACCCCACTTTATCATGCATTGAGTTTGAAACAGTCAACTGACTTATGATGACACACAGAAAGGGAAGCATGTCGTTCAAGGACTCCAACACTCGCCGTGAGTCGATTGTTCGTCGTGCCGCCATGCGACTTGGTGGTCTCCGTGTTGTGACATCCGGAGGTGCCAGCTCTGGCATTGATGCCGCGCTGTATCTTGTCAGCGCTTTGATTGATGATGCTACCTCGTTGGAAGTGGCCAGACGCCTTCAGTGGAACTGGAACAAGGGCGTTGTCGTCGATGGTCTCGACGTCTAAGATCCCTGGCAGTGAGTGCCGTGTACGAATTAAGAGTTTACGATGGGCTCAGGCATAGACCTGATTGAGACCAATTTTTATGTATTTATGTATTTGAAAGCTGAGCGGGAGGAACCCTAAGAAAATACCAAAAAGACTAGGAGCTCTCTATTTAATTCAATTATTCGGTCGCCTTTCCAAAGAAAGTCACAGCTGCCCGAATTTGATGATCAAGATGTTTCCGCTTGTGCCATTGTTTACAGTACGGTACTGTACGACTCGAGGTCCTACCTAAGGTTTATGTGTCGTCGTTGAAAGTGCGGAGAAAGAGGTCACGAAGTGACACTAATGCTGTATGGCACAAAAGGACAAACAGCCAGGGCGCTGAAACCGAATGGCGATGACGCGGGACCCACACAAGCTCGGGGAGCTCCAGCTCCCAATTCGCAATCCAATGCGGGATGTGGTCTGGTCGTGTGATGATGCCGGCTATGTCCATGAACCAGGGGGAAACAGGGGTCAAGGCGGGCCATCATCACCTCATACAGGTAGGTACCTACCTACCTACCTAACTATGAGTCTAGTGAAGATGGACAACGATAACAGCACATCCTTCACTTCTCGACTGGCATTGAAACGCATATTTCGTAAATCCAAAGAAGATGGAAAGAACCAATAAGTGCTGAAGAGTGGAATTAGATGAGAATGGATGGATATTAGCTCATGGTTGGATCTAAATCAAGACATGAGGGCAAGGGGAACTCATGATGACCAGGTGGCCATCGAAAACGCAGCATTGATCTCCGGGAAGGACTCACAGTTCTCCAGAAACTGCAAACAAATACCCGGCTAATGACTTTTTGCAACCCGTCAACATTGAATTATTGGATGATTGAGGGCTTGCTCAGCTGCTCATGTCCTACCCTCAGGGTGTCATAAGAAATGGCCCTTGACAGCACAAGAGACGAAATAATTTGATCAACTTATGCCAGCTTAGGCTATCATTTAGGCTACATTATTTCTGTAGCCTAAGTCTTGAAGGACATTTCTTCTGACACCCACCTGCCTACCAAGTAGCTGCATGCTGCATATCATGAGCACCGCATGTGACCATCAGGATACTCTTAGCCCATTCCTACCAAGGTTTATGGCACTAGAAGATGTAACTACAGACCATGTTAAACTTTCAATCGCCAAGCTATGCCCTCATGGGTTTGTCTTTGCGCTTCACATCATTAAGCTTGACTGAACGACCAAACTTGTGGCGTTTCCTGGTGTGGCTTGTGCATACCTAGGCAGATGAGTGGGTCAGATATGCTGACATAATGCGTCTGTACTGCAGCATCTAATTGGACGACACGCCTGGCTGGTACTTAGATTTGCGACAGGATGAAAGTTGTTTCAAGCTCTACGACTTGAATTTTCTTCATCTTCTTCTCTTTGTATTATTATCCGTTCTCAATCACTTAACTACATACGAAGAAGATACGAAAATATTTTACGAACCCTGTTAGATCCCTTGGCCGTCCAATCGCTTCCATCATGACCGACTGGGCCAAGCTCAAGGTCGTTGACCTCAAAGCCGAGCTCAAGAATCGCGATCTTCCGCAACACGGTCTCAAGGCTGACCTTATCGCGCGACTAGAAGAAGCCGACCAAGAGACAGCAGAAAAGGGGTCCCAAGAAGAAGTTGAAGATGTGCCCGAAGATGCGCCCGCGACTAATGAATTTGGAGGCGACGAGCCGTCAGCTGGAGAACCAGCTGTCGCGAAACCAGAGCCCCAAGACGCGACCAACGAACCTGAAGTTGTAGACGAGAAGCCAGATGAAGATATGGCAGAGACAGAAGAGAATAAGAAAGAGACGGATGAGACTGCTACGCCAATTGCCGACGAGGAGCCAAGTAAAGGGGTTGAGAGTGGAGATCAAGATAAAGATAAAGAGCAGGAGGTCACCAAGAACGGAACATCGAAAGAGGCATCTCAGGAGGCAATTACGGTAGTGGATGTGCCAAGCACTGGCAACGAAGTTGACCCCCAATCGCGGGACCCAACAGTGGAGGAGAAATCAAGAACGGGAACAGTGACCACCACTGTCGACTCTACGCCCTCACATTCTCTCGAACCAACACCTGCTGCCGAGCAGCAAAAACGGAAACGCCGCTCTCTCACACCACCTCCCACTGAAGATTCAATTGCACGAAAGCGCGCCCGCACAGAAGAGATTCCCGATCAAGATGACAATTTAGGCTCGCGCCAGGAGGATCTACTGCCTGAAACTGCAAACGAGTCTGCGCCGATGAACATCGACAACGAACCTCAAACAGAAAATCTTAAGAACGAAACCTCGCAAGATCTTGTTGCCCCAGAGCCTGAAGCCATTGCAGAGGAACATTCCAAAGAGAACAGCGACAAACAGCAGGACATGGATTACGAGCGGGACGTTGCGCCTGCGCTGCACCCAGCAACTTCTGCGCTTTACATCAAGAACTTTATGCGTCCTCTTAGGCCCCAGGATGTCAAGTCCTATCTTATTGAGCTCGCGACACACCCTCGCGATTCTTTCGACGACGGTATCGTCGTAGAATTTTTCCTCGACCAAATCCGCACCCACAGCTTTGCTATTTTCAAAACCACTGCTGCTGCCTCACGCGTTCGCACAGCACTCCACGACACTGTTTGGCCCAATGAGAGCAACCGCAAGCCCCTATGGGTTGACTTTGTTCCCACTGAAAAGGTTCGCGACTGGATCGATACCGAACAAGCCAATGGTGGCTCACGTGGACGTTCCGGCGCGAGATGGGAAGTTATATATGATGATGGGCCTGATGGCGTGATCGAGGCTCATCTCGAAGAAGCCACATCTGGTACAGGTCCTCAACCAGGCGCAAGACCACACACTGGGCCCGCAACGGCCACTGACTCTATTCCCGTTGGCCCCAGGGCACTGCGCGATCCTGCCATTCCCACAGGTCCTCGTCCTGTCCGCCCAGGGACCGGCCCTGGCCCTCGACCCCCGCCCCTTAACCCAGGTGGCGCTTCTAAGAGGACTAATGCTCATCCTGCCATCTATTATCAACCTGTATCTGAAGATCTCGCCCGCCGTCGCATTGACAACATGCGCTCATATTACACAAGCAAACGTGATCGGGATTTTGGGCGCGAGATCAACCGGTACTCATTCGAGAATGGCACATCGTTCGTTGATAGAGGTAAGGAAGTGTTTGAAGGCATTCGTCCTCCTCATCGTGAACGAGGAGGTATGGGTCGCGAGCGCCGTGGAGGAAGACGTCGACGTGGCGGCGGTGGAGGTGGTGGTCGACCACGCAGTGATCGTTACCTTCCTCCTCCGAGGGATGATCGCCGCCCCCGTCGTGGCTCCGTATCCGATGATGGGGATACTCGTATGAGAGATTGAAGACGGCATATAACGAATATCAGGCAGTACAAATGAAACAACCAGGAAATCCTGGCATGTGTACATAGGAACTGAGAGAAGTGAGCTGGGCCTTAATACTTTCGATGACGGCGTCCAAGGGAATAAAAAGGGCAAGGCAAAACCCCAAGGAAATAAACACGTATTATGATATCGATAAAACAACCATTCCTAATATTAATTGCTTAATTGATCTTTTGCATCTGCGCCTTGCCTCTGGAAATCGACCACGAATAGCGAGATCAGAGAATTTGTCACAAGCCACATTCATATTTAGCAGAGCTTTTCAGACACAATACATATCATTCACAAGACGAAGAACCGCAAGAGTGGTATCATAATAATTCTTATATGCTTGATGTTACATTACAGATAACATTTGAAAAAAGCAACCATTTCCCTTGCACCCGAGAAAACAACAGATGTTACCCAACTACCAGAACCAGACGCCAAAATCATCTCAAACTCTTCATTCAAGCAGTAGCAGCAAGAGGAGTGGGCTCAACACCAACACGCTCTCGGCTCATGATGTCGAGCATCAGAGGGGTAGGTCGGTTGTCCTTGAAAACGACCTGGTTGCTCTTGGCGAGCTGGACGCTCTGGAGGTACTTGTCAAACAAGTAGGAGCTATCCATGGGACCACCCTTGGCCTCGGGGTGGAACTGGGTAGAGAAGATGGGTCGGGTCTTGTGGAGCATACCCTCGTTGGATCCGTCGTTAAGGTTGACGAAGTACTCCTTGAAGTCGCTGGGGAGAGTGCTGGCGTCGATGGCGTAACCGTGGTTCTGGCTAGTGATGTGGCAGAGACCGGTGGTCAAGTCGAGAGCGGGGATGTTGTGGGCACGGTTACCGTACTTGAGCTTGATGGTGCGAGCGCCGACAGCAAGAGCCAGGAGCTGGTGACCCAGACAGATACCCATGATGGGAATGCTAGAGGTCTCCATAAGACGGGCAAGGTTGTGGACAGTAGCCTGGCAATGGGTAGGGTCACCGGGACCGTTGGAGATGAAGACACCGTCAAAGTGCTGCGAAACCTTGTGGATGGGGTAGTCGTAAGGGAAGACGGTAACGGAAGCACCTCGGCTGACCAGGCTGCGAAGGATGTTCTCCTTAACACCACAGTCGATGAGGGCAACGTGGAGAGAGGCACCGGGAGACTCAACAACGAAGGGAGCCTTGGTGGTAACACGCTTCACGAGGTTAATTTGACCGGGGTCGACGAAGCCCTCATCCTCATCGGCATCGTACTCTTCACCAATGGAGATTCTAGCCAGGGAAGAGCCCTGCTCTCGGAGATGAGTAACAATGGCACGAGTGTCGACACCAGAGATAGCGGGAACACCCTCTCGGGCGCACCACTCGCCCAGACTCTCAACAGCAGTCCAGTGGCTGTAGTTGACAGCAACATCTGAGACAACGATACCGGCGCACTGAACGTGGGGGGACTCGAAGTACTTGAGAAGGTTGAACTCGTCACGGGCGGCAGAAGGAACACCGTAGTTTCCAATCAGGGGCTGGGTGAAGACGAGAATCTGGCCTCGGTAGGAGGGGTCGGTCATGGACTCGGGGTATCCAACGAGGGAGGTGGTGAAGACGGCTTCACCAGAAACGTTGGCGTTGGCGCCGAAAGCCTTACCCTGGAAAACGGGACCATCCTATTGAATCGTCAGTTTGGATCAAATGGAGGAAACTCCTATATAACATACTCGAATGGTGAGAGTGGCGGGGAGAGAAGCAGCAGGAGCAGTAGCTCGAACGGCGGAGAAAGGCATGTTCCTGCCCTTGCTGCCAGCAACAGCCTTCTCGGACAGGTATCGGACCTGGAGCATGGTTCGGCCAGAAGCCGACGCGGACTTGGCCGCGGGTTTGGCAAAAGAAGCCAATCGGGAGAACATTTTGATATTTGGTAGTTGTTGGTTTGGTTTAAGTTGGGTTTAGAAAGGATGTAGTCGATTGTTGAGAGATAGTTCTTTAGCAAGACTGAGACTTCCAGAGGTGGTCTATAGCAAATAGGTTAGTTTTCATGTCTTGTGTCGGTCGAGCCAGGTTCCTAGCGGTGAACCAAAAGCGGCCAAGGGTTACGAACCAGAGAGATAATCCTGCAGCAAGACGAATTAGTATTGTGTCAATTGGATTGTTGAGAGTATCTTTATGTCATTGGAGAGGGATGATCCCATTGATATTCAACTGTAGCTCCCACAACTGGTTGTAGAGCCACAGATTGAAATGTGTTACACGATGGCGGGGTTGATACACAGATTGCGTATCTCAGATAAAAAAGTGAACTTACCTGCGAGGTGAAGATAGAAGGGCGCCCGTTCATATGGGCGGATTGGGAGACGAGCTCAAGTCGGGGGGTATATGAGGAGATGCAACCGGGTTGCAGGAGTTGAGTCAGACTTTTAAAGTGGAAGCTTTATGATTATCGCGAGGATATCTTTCTGTTGTAGAAGAAGAAGAAGAAGAAAAAAGAGAGAAGAGTCAAGAAGTGGAAAGTTGGGGAGAAAAGTGTAAGAGAAGATGGTGGGTGCGATCCCGCTCCGCACCTGCCGCCGCGACTGACAACACGGCCTTGGTCATTGGCAAGTTTTTTCGTGTAGAGTGGATTTCTCACTACAATTTTCCATCTGGCGGATGTCCGATGCCGCTCTTCCGCTGAGAAAACAGCGTGGGCGGCTTGAGCGCTCCGCCTGATGGCAGCGCTACAGGGCGATAGAAGGCCATAAATGCCCCGCTGCCCAGGAACTGGACCCTTAGGTCAAGATCTCTGTCAAATTCAGCCCTCCGATATCGTTTTTGGAGAAGAAATTTGATGGCCTGCTGTGACCAACACCAACACGTCACACCCAGGCTCTCTCTACCGCGAACACCATAACCTGCACGTCAATTGAACTTCTATATCTTGCTTCAATTGCCTTGCCCGCACCTTTATATGATTGACGTGTTATCCGAATGCTCTGTGCTCATGCGACCCCAGGTCAAGCAGCATGCTTCACAGGACTGAGTCAAGCACTGGCCTGCCCTTTATCATGTCAATATGGAGTCAGAGATTTGATCCACTGCCCCCAGACGCCTCCAGAAATGTTGAGATGTCCTTTGATTCGTCGTGGTTGGGGAATTCTTGTTCTGCTGGCGGTCAAAGCCTAGAAACCAGGCTAGAAGCATTTGTAGCGTAGCACTGTCGATCCGTTCTGATAAGAGCCCGTGGAGCCCTGCCCAGTTCTGCCAGGAACACGGCATTCGGCAGTCGGAATCTGTCGAAACATGGAACCTTGTACGTCTTGGGTCTTGGGTCTTGGG